TAGTTAAACTTTGTTAGATTTTTTGTTTTTGCAAATGCAGGCAGTGCCGCTATACCTATCAGAAATGGCACCCTACAAGTACAGGGGAGCCCTCAACATTGGGTTTCAACTCTCCATCACAGTGGGCATTCTGGTGGCCAACGTCCTCAACTACTTCTTCGCCAAGCTCCACCGGGGCTGGCGGCTCAGCCTGGGCGGGGCCATGGTCCCCGCCCTGATCATCACCGTCGGCTCCCTCCTCCTCCCGGAGACCCCAAACTCGTTGATCGAGCGCGGGAACAGGGAGGAGGCCAGGGAGAAGCTGCGGCGGATCCGCGGGGTGGACAACGTGGAGGAGGAGTTTGCCGACCTGGTGGCCGCCAGCGAAGCCTCCAGCCTCATCGAGAACCCCTGGAGGAACCTCCTCCAGAGGAAGTACCGGCCTCAGCTCACCATGGCCGTCCTCATCCCCTTCTTCCAGCAGCTCACCGGGATCAACGTCATCATGTTCTACGCGCCCGTGTTGTTCACCACCATCGGCTTCGGGGACGACGCCGCCCTCATGTCCTCCGTCATTACCGGCGGCGTCAACGTTGTTGCTACCATGGTCTCCATTTATTACGTCGATAAACTTGGTAGAAGATTCTTGTTCCTCGAGGGTGGCTTCCAAATGCTCATCTGTCAGGTACATAAACTCGATCTACAAGCTCTTATTGATCGATATTATACGTTAGGGACTACACCATTAATTTGATGTAACATTGTGATAATAATTTAGTTGGCACATGTACGACACTTGGATCTTAAAATTGACGATTCCTTCACTCAATAGACTTTCTACCCAGCCCGTGTCTGGCGCATCCCCTCCAACTAAATTTTATTGACTTTTGGGTCAATGTATGTTTCGACCATTTTTTGGATGGTGCAATTGTGGTGGTGCGGGGATGCGTGAGGGTCGGGTCGGATCAAAGGGGTTAACTGGGAGTTAGGCCAGGGGTAGAACCCTTCAATTTTACCTACCCAGCTCGTCTCTAATGCATCTCTACACCTCCTTCAATTGTACGATCTGTAGACTAGGGGTACGTAGAAACGGTCAATTTAGAGTTAGAAGCAAGTAGAGGCGGCAATTGAATTTGTGTCACAGTCTTTTATTATCCTTCTCTATAATTAAGTTATTTCTTACGATACAATATTTCAGGTAGCGGTGGCAATACTGATAGCGTTGAAGTTCGGGGTGAAGGGAGACCCGGGGGATCTACCGAAATGGTACGCCATAGTGGTGGTGATATTCATATGCACATACGTGGCGGGGTTCGCGTGGTCGTGGGGGCCACTGGGGTGGCTGGTCCCGAGCGAGATCTTCCCGCTGGAGGTCCGGTCGGCGGCGCAGAGCATCACGGTGTCGGTGAACATGATCTTCACCTTCGTGGTGGCGCAGCTCTTCCTCATGCTCCTCTGCCACCTCAAGTTCGGCCTCTTCATCTTCTTCGCCTTCTTCGTCGTCCTCATGACCGTCTTCGTCTACTGGTTCGTCCCCGAGACCAAGAACGTGCCCATCGAGGAGATGGTAGTTGTGTGGAAGGAGCACTGGTTCTGGTTTAGGTTCATGGCCGATGTCGACTACCCCGAATCCGCCGCCGCCGCCGGTAAGGGCGGCGCTGTTCAAATGGGAACTGGTGATGCTTACAAGAGAGTATGAAGGATATAAATATTATTTATTGATGTCTCAATTATGTTCTCAAGTGTTTAGGAAATTAAATTTCAATTATGTTTTGTATGTGATCTCTATGGATGTGGGAAGCAAATATATACCCCAACCATATATATATATATATATATATATATATATATATATATATATATATATATATATATATATATATATATGAACATACATTTATGTAGCATTTATACATTATCATGGAATATACTACTGGTACATCTTGAGCCTGTTTGGGAATAGCGTTAGAGATTAGCGTTAGCGTTTTGAATAAAATTTTAACGGTGTAAATTACTTTTAAAACGCTAACGCTAAACGTTGGCCGTAGATAGCCTTTTCAAAACACTGACGCTAATCTCTAACGCTATTCCCAAACAGGCCCCTAGTTATCTTTGAACTTGTACAAAGAATATACTCCTTGATGGGTTTTCGCCTACTATCTATAGAGGCACAAAATTTATTTGATACTCCTTACGTCTCAAATTGTTGTCATATTTCGAATTATGTATCTCTTTTAAAGTTATTTTATTCAAAAATTTGTAGAGGAATTAAACAAATTACATCGTTAAAAGTATATCAAAAGTTCACAACAAGAATATTTTATTTTATTAAATGGTCAGCTAAAACAACTAAACAAATAACATTTTCGAGATTATAGTAATTGTGATATTCTTTTTGAGACCGCCCAAAATAGTAACTGTGAGGGTGTGACATACTTTTTTGGGACAGATGGACTAATAAGGATGATAATAAATTGAGTAAATTCCATAGTTGGTCCTTTATAACATGGAGGTTTTCATATTTGGTCCTCTATTATCAAATAGTATCCTCGTAGTCCTTTTTTTAAGGGTGCTTTTCCATAAATGGTCCTTTTTTGATCTTCCGCCATGTGGGTGTTAATTTAAAGGCTAAAAGTATAATTTGACATCAACATTATGTCTAGTGACGTGTTTTGATATTGGTTAAGCGGATAACACAAAAAACATGACTATGATTGTGAGCTAGGATTCTGACAAAAAACCACATTTGTATACTATGGTTGTAGTAGAAAGTGAATGTAATTCACAAACGACGCAAACGGAACAACCTTTGGAATTGTGTATGATAAAAAAAAATATTATAATTGTGAAATTATACTTTTAGCCCTCAAATTAAATCCAACATGATAGAAGATCAAAAAAAGGTTATTTGTGGAAAGATACCCATAAATGAAGGACCTCTAGGGTAATATTTGATAATAGAGAACTAAATAGGAAAATTTCTCTGTTATAAAGGGCCAATTATGGAATTAAAATAAGATCTTAATATAACTTGTATTAGCTTAATTCAGTTTGAATTAAAACGAAAGTTTTACACATATTTATAGTCTACGTATTAATTACGATGTATATGACATGTAATTATGGTAGGATTATTCAGGCCCAATTCCACGTACGACTCTCCCATCGACCTAATCTTCACCAATGCAGAAACAACACTAAGTCGCTGGGCCCGAACCACAATGATGCCCAAAATAATATATTGGGCCGATCCTTGTAATCCGCTAGGCCCGACATCCAATTTGTTTGTTGTTTCATTTATGAAGTTATATGGATTCTTCTCATATCTTTGAATTGAGAATAAATATAAAAAATTAGTTGTAATTGGAAATAAGCATATATGATTTGTTGCGTTTTTTTTTTGTAACTTTTGGAGTTATCCTATCTTTATTAAAAAAAATGTCATGCAAGGAGCATAAAAAAACATGGAGCGAGAGTTTGGCATTTTCTACACCATTGGAAAAAAATTCCACAAACCTCTAATAATAATGTTAATCAAGGGAAAATATGATGCTGATGGGAAGGGAAATGTAGAAAGAGATTAGTGAGAAATATTTCCTTACACACCTTTGTGAATATTATAATCACACCGTTTAATTTTAATGTTTTAAAAGAAAATGTTTCCTCTCACCATTGGGAATATTATATATAATCACAACTTTTAGTTTTAATGCATGTTTCAAAAGATAACCTGCACTATTAAAATATACTCCCTCCGTCCACAAATAAACTTTACATTCACTATTCACAGGGTCAGACTTTATTCACTTTGTTGGCCTATTTTTGTCACCCATTTGATAAAATAATATAGTCATGTCATCTCTAGTTTTGTAGATCTTTTGATATACTCCCTCCGTCCCAAAAAGATCGTTACGTTTCATTTCTTTGCGCATCCCTTAAAATATTTTTATATCGTCTAAAATGCTAAAAAAACTTTCAAAACAATTTCATCTTATAATAAAGAGTAAATATGGTAAATTTTAGAAATTTTAGATGTGAGTAGCATTGCTTTTTGTGATGCGCAAAGAAATGAAACGTAACGATCTTTTTGGGACGGAGGGAGTAGTTTTTTAATATGTAATTTTTATTTTTCAATTCTACACCGTTTTTCATATAAAATGATTTGAAAATAATTTCAATCAAACATCGTAACGCATAATGTAAAATTTAATTTTGGACGGAGGGAGTAGTATCAAAAGATAACCTGCACTACTAAAATAGAGGTTTGTGCATGATTTTTTGCATCATTACCCTTAAATGAAGTTCTTCACCAATCGAACAATATTTTCATCGACTCACATCTTCATCAAGCTTCAAGTCTTCAACGAATATATTGATGCGTCTGCGATTAACACGCCTCTAATCCTGACACAGATGAACTGTTGATGCAACATTTTTAAAAAAATCAAAGATCAGCGGTACAATTTTTAAAACTTAGATAGAATTTATGTAATTTTTGAAAAATGCGTGAGTAAATGACACAAAGAAAGTCGTTTGTCCAGGAGATATTGGCAATAAGTAAGGGGAAGTTTTTGGTTTGGGGCGGGGGAAGCATAGGGTTGGATTCACACTTTTATCCACAGAAAGGTGACACGTTCCATTACTTGTCTACATCGGACGGACGGCACCCAATTGCTTTGACTAACTCCCCTCTTTCCTCATGACTATCCGTCCCTGAGTATTTGTTACTTTTTTCGATCAACTATTTTTTAACCTTCGATCTATAATTAAATAAAATATATATTGTATATTAATTAGATAAAATGATATTTTAAAAATATTTGATGTAATAAATGAAATAAAATTAATTTGTATCAATATCTAATACTCCTTCCGTCCCATAAAACATGAGACTTTTACTTTTTAAGAGAGATTTAAGGGGAGTGTATTTTGGTATTGAATTTTCAAAAATGTCTTTTGATGTGATGGGTAAAAGTATGATTTGATAGATAGATTATTAGTAAAAAGGTGTGATGTGATAGATAGGGTATGAAAAAGTAAGGGGTAAAAGTGACTTTTAAATATGAATGAGAAGTGTTTTGTGGGACGGATAAAAAAAGAAAGGAGAAAGGTTTGATGGGACGGAGGGAGTATCATTTTTATTTAATTTGAGGTCAAAGTCTATCAATTTTGACAAAAAAAAGTGGACGAATACTCTGGGACGGAGGGAGTAGTTTTTCTTCTATATATATATATAAATATAAAATATGTATACCATCCTCCAATCAACTAAGCTAACATCAATTATAGGGATCAAAAATATGGGTAGAGCACCTTGTTGTGAAAAGAATGGAGTTAAGAAAGGTCCTTGGTCCCCTGAGGAAGACCATAAACTCACTCACTTCATCCTCAAACATGGCCATCCTAACTGGAGGTCCCTCCCCAAGGCCGCCGGTACAATACATACATACATACATACCATACATGCCTCATTTCTCTTTGCCTGTTTTTTTCTTTTGTCCTTTACATATTCATGTATGATGGATGATGCAGGGTTGGACAGGTGTGGAAAGAGTTGTCGCTTGCGTTGGACGAACTATTTGAGGCCCGACGTTAAGAGAGGAAGGTTTTCGTTCGAAGAAGAGGAGACAATCATCCAACTCCACCGCGTGCTCGGAAACAAGTAAGCCACGTCTCGAGTTTTGACACCACGGGTGACAACCATCTTTTTATAGTGTTAGTCAATTTTGTGCGAAAATTACTCTCTACAAATTAAACCATATTATAAGGGGCAGGACTCGAGTTTCGATTCCTGGCAACTGCTCTGCAAGTACTACCACATGCATGCTCCACTCTTTGACACTAACCTACGATCAAAATCTAATTTGTCTCATTTTAGTGACCGTTCGACGAGGATGTGGTCCCGTCCATATAGTAATAATAATAATAGTAATGATGTTTGAGAATGAAAACAGGTGGTCAGCAATAGCTGCGAGGCTGCCGGGGAGAACAGACAACGAGATAAAGAATTATTGGAACACTCACATAAGAAAGAGACTGTTGAGGATGGGAATCGATCCCGCGACCCATGCCCCAACGCTCCATCTTCTCCATCAACTCTCCTCCCTTCTCGCCATTTCAAATAATCCTCACTTTCTCTTCAACTTCGCCACTACTCTGCATCAACAGGGCCTGTATTTGGGCCCACAAAATCCAATCCTTGGGCCAGATTTCAGCAGTAGCCCGAACCAAAGCCCGGCACAGCCCAATACCGACGACTCCGCGTTTGGACGGTTTTGCGCCCAGCCCAATGGATGGGAAACTGAAGGAGAAGGCTATTTCACTCCGCCGCCTCTTGCCGGAGACTACGGTGGCTACTGCCAACCCTTCTCCGCCGATCCTCGTCAGTTGCTCGATGCCTCCGCACTCTATTCAAACGACGCCGTCTTTAGCTATTCCGGCTTCCGCCCTGCAGTCTCGTTTTCCGACATTTCGACGCCGAGTAGCGCCGCTGCATTGACGGCGGATGATGAGATCGGAGACATGCTGAACTTGGATGGATACCCAAGTCTTGTGGGAGTTGATGAATTATTCATGTAATTATGCTAATAATGAGTAAATAAGAATATATTGTGTACCCAAATGGTCCTTACAATCAAACTGCAGGCTCGACTCTCAAACTTGGATTTTTGTGGTATGGGCAGGCCTGACCCGTAACAGACAGGGCCTGCAAATTTGAGAGTCCAGCTCAGGTTTTATGTTTTAGGCCGACAGATCGGTTCGGCTCAAACTAATACTAATAATTATAGAATTAAATTACTCTCTAGTAATCATACTCCCTCCGTTCCTAAATAGATTACAATTTTTTTTTCTCATCTCGATAACTTTTATTTGTTTACGCGATTTCATTAAGTATTTGATAAAATAAAATATTTTTGTAACCTCTTGTTTTGTACTCCCTCCGTCCCTAAATAAAGTTCTATTTTTGATTTTTTGAAGATTTAAGGGAGAGATATTTTAGTGTTGACTTTCTAAAAATATCCTTGATGTGATGTGTTAAAGTAAGATGTGATAGGTAGATAATTAGTAAAATGGTATAATGTAATAGGTATGGTATGAAAAAGTAAGGGGTAAAAGAGGTTTTTTAAGGGAAAAGAGAAGTTTATTTAAGGACAAAGAAAAAACGAAAGAGGAACTTTATTTAGGGACAGAGGGAGTAGAATTTTTGACGTAGTTTTTTAATATGTAACTTTTATATCTTATTGATATACCAATTTGTAAATAAATTGATTTAAAAAAGTAAGAAATTGGGGACGGAGGGAGTAATAAACAATACTCGGTACTCATAATAAGTAATAACAACGAGAATAACAACATTAATAATTATATTAACAATAATAATATTTATCATTGCTACTCAGTATTATATGACACATGGATACTTCTAATAAGAAAATAATAGAACCATTATTTTACTAAATCAAACGAATATATATATTTCATAAATGCTAATCACAAATTAATAATTCCTCCGCCCATTAATTTTTTTTCACTTTCCTTTTTAGATTGTTCAAAAATTTCTTTCTCGTTTCTTATTCAAGCAACAAAATTTTAATGAATGTGTCATTATGCCCCACTTTTCATCTACAATATTTACTTTATCATTTTACTTCAAAGACAAATATTGAAAGTCGTTACATTTTTTAATTTTGTTTAATTTCTATACCAAGTCAAAATGAGAAAGAAATTGTTGAATAGAGAGATTAGTGATTTTAAAAAAAATAGTCATCATATAACTCAAAGTACGTTGCATATGTTATTTTTTCTTTTGATATGTATTAATCTTAATTTTTATGTCAAATACTATCAAATATATTAAGACATTATTTAGTTATTTTAAATGTATTTTTTTAAATGTTTAAAATTTATTATTAATGTGAGCATGGCCAGGCCAATCCGATTGGACTCGGATTTTAATTGTTAGGCTCGCATTGTGAAAGTTGCACTCAGACATTGAAAATTTTCATAATGTTGCATCTCAGCTTGAGCCGAAATCTGACGTAGCCTTACATTCTGGTTAGGTCTGGTCATGGACTCATGGATACCCAAATAACTCTTTATTTGTTCGTTTTTCAATTTTAACTTTTAGCAGTTCAAATTGAAAAACGTTGACTATTAATTAAAAAAATTGATACTCCGTATTATATATTGATATCAAAATAATTTTTTTTTTAAATTTATCTTGTAAAATATTATCAAAATACTATTTTATCTAATTAATATGCATGCATTACATACAGAGTAACTTTTATATAATTACTTTGTATATACCAAAGGTTGATCTTGTTTGACTGCGAAAATTAAAAAAATAAACTAATACTTCGGAATGGTGGGAGTATTTCTTTAAACAATTCGAACTCATAAACTTACGTTCTTTTAAAAATAAACTTACTTTCTTTTTTACTTATTTTAAATATTATTGAAATCTCATATACAAAAATTAATACTTGATAATTAAATAAAATTTATACTCCCTCCATTTTAAAAAACACTTTCGCCTTAATTTTTTGCACACCCCATAAAATACTTTTATTCTACCTTAAATGTCAAAAGTACATCCAAAACAACTTCTACATACAATAAACTACATAATGAGATGTATTTTAGACATTTTAAGTGGAAGTAAAAATATTTTATGAGATGCACAAAAAATTTTGATGAAAGAATAGTATTACTAGATTTATCTTGCAAAAAATTTTCAAAATATTATTTTATCAAATTAATATACTATTTTATTTTTATTTAATCATATAGTGAAGTTAAGATCCATTTTGACTGATTAGAGCAGTGGTAATACCCTTGACGTCTCACTCCATTATAAGGCGTTTAACGCCATCGGGGTATCAAACACCGCCCCTTTTGGCGTCCAACAGGAGTCAAACGCACCTCGTTAAACGTTTGACACAGCGGCAGATTGGCAGCAACGGCTCTCCCCCCAACGGTCTAAATTATGGCCGTTGGGCTTATTTAAAAAAAATTCTTTTAATGTGATAAATACTCCTTTATTTTTAAAACAACAAACAAACACAACATATTCTCATTTTCTCTATAATTCCTCAAAAATATATTCCATTTATCTTAATCCTCTCTACAAAATATTCAAATAATAAGATCATCTTTATTTGACGATGAAAGAAAAGCTTTGATTTTTCGTTGTTTTGTGACTGGCTGTTATCAATGGTGGCAACAAGGCCTACAAGAAGAAGCAGAATCGTCTATGTTTTTAAAGCATGATCAGGCGGATGCACACGAATCACTGCTCAACGACTACTTCAATAATATTCCGTCACACCGGAGAATTTTAGTAATCATTTTTGGATGAGTCGTTCTATGTTTTTATGCATACTCGCCAATATTGAATGCGAGGTGTTTTGGTTCACCCAACGCTTTGATGCGATAGACCGACGTGGTTTTAGCAACGTGTTAAAGTGCATTGCCACGATTCGTTAGATTATGTATAGTACGAGACGGCTAGTGATATGTTCGACGAATACTTGAAGATGTCAGATTGGAACATCAAGTCATGTGTTTATAAATTTTCTAAAGTTATTATTCGACTTTATTATAAAAGATATTTACATAAGCCAACAACGAGGAACATTGAGCAGTAACAGGCGAAGCATGCCACTAAACACGTCTTTGTCGGCATGCCCGGGAGCACAGATTGCACACAATGGGAATGTAAAAATTGTCCCAATGCGTGGTATGATCAATTCTCCCGAGGTGATCATCTCAAGACTGTTATCATGCTTGAAGTTCTGGCTTCAAATGACTTGTGATTTTGGCATGTTTTGTTTAGTGTTGCGGGGTCGAACAACGACATTAATGTTTTTGATCAATTGCATGTTTTTGACGACGTCTTTTGAGCTTAGAGGGAAGCTTTACAAGCGTAAATATTACTCCCTCCGTCCGCCTAAGATGTTCTCATTTTGACTTTTGGTGGTTTTTAAGGAGAGTTGAAAAAAGGTGAAAGTTTACCATAATACCCTTAATGAAAAATGGGTGGAGTGTATTAAATGAGGTGGGTGAGGTGTAATAAATAAAGTAAGTGGGGGTAGTTGTGGTATTTTACTTGTTAAAAAATGAAATGAGAAGATCTATTGTGGACAAAGAAAAAGGACTATTGGGAAGATCTATGGTGGACAGAGGGAGTATCTTATTGATGCAATATATCCTGATTATTTCAAGTCTCTCTCCGAACTAATGAGTCTTAAACGTCAAATATACAAAAAAGCTCATGAGGTAGCGATAAAAGATATCGATCGAGCCTTTAGGGTGTTGAAGGGTAAGTGGCACATTCTAGATCGTCTGTCGAAGTGTTATACTCAAACGAAAATGGGGAATATCATGTACGCATGTAATACTCTTCATAATATGATCATGGAGGACAATGAGTTTGCAATTTATCATTACAACATGGACGAGGAGGCGCTTACGTACGAAGAAATCGATGAAGAAAAGAAACGAAGAAACCACCAAAAACTTCAAAGCCGAGAGATTCACAATGCACTAACTGTTAATTTGATTGAAGATATATTTAGTCGTTCAAATAATCAACAATTTCTACGTAATGTAATGTAATATTTAATATTTTTGTTGTTATTATTCAAATTTTATTAATACAATTTTTTAATTGAATGTAATTTTTTTTATTTAATTAATTATTGTCGTTTAAATTCAGTTAATTAATGAAATTTTATTAATTTTTACAAGATGTGAAAGCTCATGTGCTTCAAATCTATTTTTGGTATAACTATAAAATAAGTTAAAACAGACATGACACAGAAAAATTTTGAAATCCCACACTTTAAAGATATTTCTAGCCCTCTTACAAAAAGTCAATACTCTACCAATAATATGGGATGAAGAATGCATTACTTTTGCGGTTTTGCCCGTTGTTTTTATAGAAGCAATTGAAAACACTCTTGCACGATAGGCATCACTCATTCACTCATCAGTGTATCTTTTTCCAATAAAAACGTGTTGTAACTTTTTTTTGTTAAGAGAACGTGTAGTAAATATTAGTCGTAGAGAGCCACTATGTTTTGAAAATATGGTTCAAGAAAGATAAGTAACACTTCACACATGAAGCTTAAAAAGTCACAAGTACCATTTAATGCAAATTATTTATATATTCTTTTTGTCTTAAAATATTATACTCCATACTATATTTTGTAATTAAAGTTTGTAATACGGAGTAATATTTAACCAAAAAATAACGGATTATAAAAAAATACAAGATCAGACTATTATGTAAATTTAATACTATTATATTTTGATCTTAGTTTCATACACAGATATCCCGTAATATGTATTAATGTAGTACAATATAAATATTAATGATAAAATATACTACATCCTCTGTCTTAAAATGTTTTTTCCAGTTACTTTTCACAAGGTCAAATTTTAATCATTTTCATTATTTATTTTTGTTAGTTATTTGATAAAACAATATAGTTTTCACCACTTGTTTTGTACGGAGTAAAACATTTGATGTAGTTTTAAATATATAAATTTTATTTTTTAATTTTATAATTACAATTAAATAAATTGAATTAAAAATAAAATCAGTCAAAGTTTATAAACAAATACTCCCTCCGTCCTATAATGATCTTTCCGGTTCGCAAAACGAAGAAAAATCCCAAGTTTTTTCAATCTATTTTATTTAAATATTGGTATATAAATAAAAAATAAAACATACATATTTAAAAACTACACCAAAAGTTCAACAAAACAAGTGGTGACAAGAATATTTTATTTTATCATATAGGCCATGAAAAAACACAAATAAATATAAATTCTCGTAAAGTTGGAATAGTGCTCTGAGAAGATCATTATAGGACGGAGGGAGTATAAAAAGAATGTTTCAGGATGGAGATGGTATTATAGACTACAAAAAGTCAAACGAAAACCATATTTTGAGGTGTAATCTAACTTCTCCTACATGAAATCGATGTACTTTCCTATCAGAATTATACTACCTTCCTCTCAATATATTTAATTGTTTATTTTTTTTTGTTTTTCATTAATTTCATCTCATGTCATATTTCTATCATATATAAGTGATTCGCATTTATTCTGGTTTTATTTTATTTTTTAATATCAACATCAATCACATAACTCTATTATTTTTCATTTCCTAGACACTTTATTTATGTCCTAAAAATAATTCTCCGTGAAAGAGAAATAAGTTGAAAAAGTGGAGTGTAGGAGGCGAGTTAACGCCAAAATGCTAGTTGTGGTGGTGGTGGAGGGGGGGTGAGGGTAGAAACTGACATTTTAACAGAGCATTTTAAAACTTCAAAAGCGTTGCCCGTGCCAAGAGAATAACAGTTAAATTTGATTCCTGGTAATTGTATAAATTCTCGGCAAGTACTAGAGAAGTATGAAAAACTTTCCAAAAAATAAATAAGAAACTTTTTAAAAACCTCCCAAAAAAAAAGAAAACATGAACTTTTTTAGATGAAGAGACTAGTAAACATAAAGATCTTTTCAAGCCAGAGATAATATTTTGAAAATTGTGATGGCAATCTTGTGAATAAACCAAAAATAATGCAAAAATGAGCAAAAGTACATTAGAAAAAAATCAAAATGAACGAAATTGCATCAAAAGAAACAGGCACTAGTACTATTTTTCCCGGGAAGAAGTGTTTTTTACTGCACTCTACAAACACAAACCATTATTATACATATGTGAAATACTGTATAAGATACGAGAATAATCTATGATCAATCACATAGCATTATTCTTTTGATAAACCACTTATTAACTTTATCATGTGTTAATAAATAAAAGACAAATGGTTAAATACAAGGGGATGTACATGGCTGCCTCAGGCTTAGTGAGTCAAACACATGAATATAAGACGGTTGCCTCGCGTGTTCACGGTAATGTACACCATTGCCTCACCGACTTCTTAAAAGCCGACTGGTTGGGTCGTAATGTCAGCCAGGTGAAAACCATTGAAGGCGACTCGATGGCATTGTCAATCCAACACTAAAACTGGACCATTATACCCCTCAAAGCCTACGATCCGGGTTTCTAAAACAGCACCTAAAGGAAAATATAGGAAGTGACTAAGCTCTGCTTGGGTAGAGAGTAGGTTTGAAGGGTAAGAGTAAGGAAAAGTAAGAATGTGTGAGAGTCATCAATAGTGAGTGAAGAAACCTTGTTTGAAAATGCATATATTACTCTCCCTTGCACTCCATTTGGGGTGTTCAAAATGGAGAGTAAATGTATGAAGAGGGGAATATGAGTTACTCCTCACCCTAACACTCAATCCAAACAGAGCCTAAGTGGGTATTAGTGCCAGTATTTGGTTTCTAACAATTCCCATGCACTTCTCTATCTCAGCATACAGTGGAAGGTTGTGAGAAGCACTGGGATGCAAACTTGTGACAGCAGAGTCCAGTATCTTCGCCACATCTGCTGGAGGAAATTGCCGTTCCGTACACTTCTGCAGTTCATTAAAAAAACACTCATAGTTACATCAAATGAAGAATGTGGAGTACCCCCCACATATATTGAATTTTGCATATAAATGTGTTTACCGCACTTTTCTTAGGAATCCTTTTGAGGTGAGTCAAACCCAACTTAACGCGTAATAGCTAGTCAGATAGGGTAGGGGTCAGTTCAGACCCTTTTGCTCACCCTTTTAGTGGTTCAGTTTCATTTGGGCGGGTGGGTTGAATATCCCACCACTAAGGGCAGATAAGGGTCGGCACTCGGCACTACCATGCCTCAGGCCACCCCAAGTTATGTCCAATTTTGATCCCATACAGTTGACGTTCCAAACTACTTTATCCTTTTCATTTTTATTAATTCTTCATTTTTAAGAACTAAAACATGACAAACTTTATTTCATTAACTTCTTTCTTCTTCCTACAGTCTTCTACCTAAAGTTAGGTGTGTGTTTAAGAATCAAATGGAAGATATCTCGTATGGTGAAATGAAACAGCCACCCTTTACACTATCCATCTCCGTTAAGACGGTCATTTCAGTGTTCCAAATCAATATTTGCCTTCTTTCAATTTGAATAATCCTTAAACACAACCTTAAGGGATGTGTTAAGCAAAATCCTTAATAAAAAATAAGTATTATATAAATAGGATTGATGTATATGTATCTATATTGGAATTTTTTTTGAAAATTAGTAAAATTACGACTTTACTCCAGTCGATCTTTTTGGTCCTGAACCTTTTGATCACCTAAATTCTAATCCAATTTTGCTTTTTGCAGAGTTGGATTTAATCATAGACCTCGAAGACACATCGGAATCATTCCGCTGTGCCACATTGTCTATCTAGGGAAGGGTAGTCCTTGCTTTTTTTCACCGTTCTTCAATTTACCTGAATCATAAGAAGAGTAGCAACACATTGAGCAATAAGTTCTAACGGGAATTCTTTCTCGTTTCCATGCAAAGTGTTCTTCAACTTAGAACCGGGTTCCTACGAAGGGGTTAGAATTCATATCAACACAGGGAGAAGGAACGTACATTCGTACAATAAGTAAAACAAAAATAATAGTGTCACTTCTTACAGTAGGCAAGCACAACCCATCTGTGGGTATCCGGCTGTTTAGATAATCTATAGCATCCTCAACACCCCCCGCACCATATTCCACTCCATTAAGTGATGAAATTGCCTAACCAAAAAAATGGTCATCTCAGAAAGGTTGGTGTCTGTGGAGTGTCAACTTTAAAAATGTGTATTCTGAAATAGTACACCAAACTTCTGTGTACCTGCATAGCAGCATCTACCATAGTTCTGGCTTTTACTTTCGAACTTTCTATAATCTCACTGATATGAGACCCAAGTTCCTGAACTTGATTTGTGTAGCTGTCAGATATACCACCAGAATCACCAAAATTAGCAAATGGCCTTGGCCAACTAAGAGAAGCATTCCCTTGATATGTGTTCCTTTGTCTCAAACAACATAAAGCCGAAGAAACCTGTCAAAGATATTTGAGAGTTAGGATATGACTTAGTTTGGTTGGGGGATTATGGAGGGGAGTGATTTTGTTTTACTGATTATCTATTTTTAATTTGTTATATCAATATTTTTAAAAAATATTTCTTTCTTAATTAAGCAAATTCATCAACTCCATCGATATCAACTTAATTAATTGGACTGGGCACAAAAAATAAAAAAAGTAAAAATTGTGGTTGAGTTTTATGGAAAAGAAAGAGAAAGAGTGGTTACAAATAGAAATGAGCAAGATCCTTTAGGACAAACCAAAAAGGAAAAGAGTAACATAAATTGGGACAACTGGAGTATTTGCATATAAATTTGCATCTTCACCTTCCAACCATTTAAATGTGAGAATAAATTAATAATATAGCCCCTCACCCCTGAAACCCTCTGAAATCCTCTAACCAAACAAGGGCTTAATTGCAGTGTTGTGGCAAAAAATGAAAAAAAACAAAACAAAACGAATTGTTTACAAAGTGGAAGGTAACATGCCTGCTCATTTACTTCATTTAACTGAACGATTATGGCAGCATATTGCTTTCTGAAATGGTCTGAATCTTTGAGAGTGCAGTCACCACTCTGTTGGTTTTCCAAAACATCATCATTCATGCGCCTCAACTCACAAATCACAGCATCCTAAATGTTCAATCAAAGCTCCTTTTTAGTAAATCATATGATAAATGTGAACCTCATTTACACACACACACGCACGAAATCAATATATATGCAGCAGAAAAATAAAATAAAAAACCTTTTTGTTAAGAGCACGAGTCAACTTAGCTAGAGCTTGAACATCAGCTTCTTTTGATTGGTTTTGTGACACTGTACCAGGTTGAGAATATGATGGGTCCTCTACAGTGTCGCTCTGCTCGACTTTAACATGCCCATCAAGGATTTCTGCAACCACCTGGCAGAGAAGGTTTATAAGCTAATATCTCGCTAATGTGAGATTGAAGCATATTACATTCCTCAACACATCCCAGCTATTACAAATGCCTCATTTTGAAGCTCATATTTATTCTCCTGAGTCAATTACAACAAATGTCCATCTTTACAATAATACAAAGAGTAAATTTGTCTTTGCACAATTTTGCCCATTGTATAGCTCAATATTTGATGTTGCATGACTTGCATCCCATGTTATTTTTCTTTGGACATGCAACCCAGTTACCCAGGGTGTCCAAGAACGGGTAATTCCTAATAGATTTTGCACTCCGCACATTAGACTTTGCACTCCATGATTTACCAATTTCTGACTTTGTGCCCTATGATTTACACATCAATATAGATAGAGGCACAAAAGCAGTCACTTTTAAAAGAAATGTAATGCCACTGACCTCTTTTTGCATGAATAGACTATTATGTGCATAGAATGATGGAGAGAAGCACTCTCCATTCTCCATATTATCACCCGTTGCCAATTTCACATTGTCATTTGCTCGGTCATTAGCCTTGAAGTCATTGAAGTTCTCAAATAACTTTTCTAGAGCATGCCTTTCTCTGCTAAGAAGTGCAGGCATGTTGTCATAGGGATTTATTGGCATGCAATCAATATCCTGTCAATAAATGAAGAATTGCAGTAAGTGCATATACTGGTTACATAATCTAGAAGTATAAAGAAGACTATTAGAAAGAGAAGTATATATAATTCTATGTTTTAACTGAATAGCACAATAACATAAAGCACAAACTACAGCATGTTTTAATGATATCATTGGTAGATCATTTACCTTGACATTTTCAACTCCAAGCTCAGGCCAATCAAATTGAACCCGACACCTAGAATGATCAACAGTCAGTACACTTCCATCATGAACTTCTCTTGTTTTAGGGTGTATGGCAATGACACGTTGTCCAACAGATAATGGCCTTGCAAGATCAGTAGGTAATCCTACCCTAGTACCCTCACGTAGTTCAGTGTAATGTGTTCTAACAAACTCGCGGTATCGATTAAGCTTCTCCTTTTCTTCCTTCAAAAATTGTTCAGAAAACCTCCGTGGTTTACCAAGAGAACTGCAACAACATGCAAAGCTTAATATAACCCGTTACACAGAACATTCTCTGGTTTAGCATAGTTTTTGCAGAGAGCTACAAATACCTTCTTATCACATCCCATTCAACACGAGTAAGCCTGGGAACGTGTCCTAACCCAACATGATACAAGTATTCGACAAATTCCCTTTTAGCAAACCATGGATAATCAATTGCACTGTAGAACCACTCATATGTACACCATCGCCTCGCACAATGGTTGGAAAGGCAATTAGAAAGCTTGTTCTGCATTCCATGTAACACATACATTGAATAAAAGACCAAATGTTAAAGTTAAAGGAACAAAAAGACAAGATGGTTTAGAAAACCTTAACACTGAGCACATTGTCATTGGCGGGATGAAAGGGTAGACTGCAGTGATTATCCAACACACTGTCAGGAAAAGTTGGATCTTTTTCTTTTTTTGGTTTCTTAAGCCCCATCTTACGCCTACTTCTAACTTTAGTAGGCAATGTACTTTGGTTGGATACAGGCACTTCTGCAGTTGATTGAGCCGAATCACTTCTCTCTACTTTTAGATCTGGGCTTGATGAATGATCTTGATTTTTTATCAATTTAGGTAATGAACTCTGCGAGGTTTTTTTAACCTTGCTGAATAGCTTCTTTAGTGTATCTTTTGTCTGTAGGGAAAGGAACAGCCGAGTGACACAAAGTACAAACAAAAACTCAATACAAGAAAGAGCTCTTCAAATATATTACTTTGTCCAGTTGACCTCTATAAGTGAATAAAGCTGGAACCAAGAAATTGTAATAATTGACTAATTGAGAGATTATTTTTCAGATTCAGTGAATATACATTTAAGTACATGAAAAACATTATACCTTGACTCTTACAATATCCATTGCATCCACTAATTAAATAAACTTCGACTTAATGTGAGTAAAAGTCACTTGCACCTTCAGATGGGTTCGTTGTACCAGAGATAAATGTATTCAATGTATGGAAATGAACAAAACCCACTGCATAAACAATTTACTATTTTTTAAAAATGGCTTCGACCTTAAATGTGTCAAAAATCAATCGTGACACATCACATACATAAAGCATACTGTGGGTATAGAAGAGATTAAGATTTCTATGGAGCACTAGTACACTAATATAATACCGGAGTATAATGGAACATCAGGATGCAACCATGTCTTGAGGTGACATCTTGAGTCTTGATACTCCATTACACCATCATGCTCTATAGACTTTTTTTTCTAAAAAAAAGATTGTCCCCACATGCCAACAATGGCTTGATGAAAATTTTTGAGAAAAAAAAGAAACAAGGATAGAATCTAGTATACTAGGTATCATGATTATGTTTGTTACTGTAAGAGAATTATTTATTTATGATGCTGATGGGACCTTAATTACTATAGGGTTTTTTAAAGAAATCTTATTAATTTAATGAAATTATTACAAAGTAATTTTTAAACTGGCCAACTTGAGGGCAAAGAAAAACATTACGGAGTATCTTAGAGAGGTTATTTATTTATCAATAGTAGTAATTCCCTCCACTCACTTGGACTTACGCATGTTTAAATTTTTGTCAGATAAATTTAATTTTGACCAATGGTTTAAGTTGACATATTTTACTGAATATTATAGATTTCTCAATTTAATGATACTCCCTCCATCCTGAATTAAAGTTCTCGTTTGCATTTGGTGTGCGGATTCAGAAAACGAAATTGCGGCTGAGGTTTATTTTGAAACGAGAGAAACAAAAGAAATTACACAATAAATTCCATAAAGAATAAGGTTCAAGAGGGTGTGTACACAAATCCATATAAACAACATTCCTATATACAACAACAAATCCATTAAAGTGGCACAAAAAATAAGGTTCAAGAGGGTGTGTACACTGTACACAAACCTTACACCTACTTGAAGGTAGATTAGTTATTTCAAAGAGACCCCCGGCTCAAACACAGAAGCACACACACGGAAAACAAAGTAGCATGAACAAAGAGCATAGAGACAAGAAGCACACATACCGACAGTAGCAACTAGACCCAAAGTACAAAAGACACACATGCACAAGCTACAGACTAAGGAAAAAACACACCAACATAAACTACAAACTAAGACCCAAATGTCCACCTAACCACTCTAATCCTAAATCTCCCGGCGCTCCTATTTGAGGTCATATCTTTGGTAAGCTCCTAAAGTTGCAAGATCTAATCACCTCATTCCAACTCTTCCTAGGTCTTCCTCTACCCCTTTATGCCCATAACTGCAAGCCTCTCACATCTCCTCACTAAGGCATCTATGTTTCTCCTCCTAACGTGTCCAAACCATCTCTTCCCTATAAATAATATTTGTATATAAAAAAGAATATATCATATGAGGGTATTCAACTTATTGTTTACATGAAGAGTAAACATAACTTCATTCTCCTCAAACTATAAAACAATACTCCCAAAGTCCTTAAAGAAACCACATAGTTTTCCTTTTAGTGCATCCCAATATAATGACTCCTTTTCCTTTTAAGGAAAGGAATAAGGCTCACATTTTTCTCTCCTAAACATTTTTCAATACATCTTTTCACTTTTCTTTAACTCTGTAGGTGATCAAACCAAACACTCATATAAGGGGGGAGGGAGCATAATCTTACTAACTACCAAGTACCAACTTTATCCAAACATTAATTAAATGAGATATGACTCAATATCAAGTAACATTAGCATCATTATCTAACAAATTGATAATATATCACTCAATCCTGTTCTTAAAATCCCAATTGAAACCTAACATCATCATTCTCGCATTTTAGATTTCCTAACTTCATATCAACACCAATTTACTGTCAATTTTCATTGCAATCATATATTCCCTCCATCCTGGAAAAGGTTCCACATTTTTTGTCCCAAAATAAGATTGCCCTTTTTCACTTTCTTTGTTAAGAAAAGATTAAATGGTTTTCGTGCCTGGTCAAAACCTTAATTCGAGACAGAGGGAGTCAAACGGATCCTTGAAGCAAAACTGAAGCTGCATGAGAATTAAATCCTAACACATGATACACCCATACACATCCTTTGTAATTACTCAATCTGATATCTCAAATTGATCATATTTTAAGATTTTAAAACACAAAATGATCAGCAAACATCTAAAGTCAACAAAAGAAAAGCAGGCATACCTCAAACTCTTGAGGTTCAGAGAGATCATTACTAAGATGAACTTCATCTTTAAGTGCCTGAATGGAAGAGCAAATACTTACTTATTCTGCAACAGACAGCATTGTTGAATATATTGATTATGCTAGACAGAAATTTAATCTAAATACCTTAGATATTGAAATCTTTTGTGTTTTTCGTGTCTGTTTTGTTTCAGGAATGGTGCTTGTGTCAATGGAAGCATTTCCATGCTTTGACATTGCACTAGATGCATTCTTGAGAGCTGAAATGGGTTGGTTCCAGTTAGCTTCAACCCCGGAAGATCCATGTTTCTCCTTTTGGGGGTGTGGAGGCAGAGCTCCCAAGACTTTAGATTCATCATCAATATGATCATTTTCATCTTTGGTGGGGATCACTAACTCTGAAGGGAAAAAATAGTAAATACAAAGTAAAAATTGTTGCCGATCCACCACTTAAGTTATATAATGGGAATATGGTTTCAAATTTTAAAAATCAGTGACAGAAGTTAGCCATTTTACTGAGAGAAGATTTCATCCTTCACAAAGGATAAACATTATTCAAAAAATAAGGTTAAGAAAGGAGCATCTCAATGCACATCATAAATCATCTTTCTGGTGACAGTGATGCACATTGTAGTTTATAGTTAAAGTTGGTTTGTTCTGGCAGCAGATAGCACACTAGGTTACAACAGCACACAGCATTCTGGGTGCAACAACAATAACAACCTACCCAGTGAAGTTCCACAAGTGGGGTCTTGGGGATGTGTGTACGCAAATCTTACCCCTACCTAAAATGGTAGAGAGATTGCTTCTTAAAGTAATGATATATGTTTAACATATTAGTAAAATACATTTGTTAACCGAAAATGCATTCCACAACACATTGTAAAAACTCATTTTTATAATCAAAGCAAGCATCAACATCCATAAAGTCTGAAGAGAAGAAAACAAATGAGATATCTCTAGTCAGAGATGGTAAGTGCACACAGATCGTGGAAACTAGAGTGAAAGTGATGATCATCCTTACCATTTTCATTTTCTGATGTAGGCATCATCAGAGATAGAGCAGCCAAAGTTTGTAGAGCATCAAAGGCCGTGCTCTCATCTATATAGAAAAATTACTACAAGTTAAATTTGGAACAAAGCATGGAAATATTTAACACATCATTGACAATCCCACATACATGATCCTAGATAAGGGACTATGGAGGCCTAAGATTAGAGTTGTAGAATAATTTGACCTATTGATTTTGTGTGGCGGGTGCCTTTGTAGGGGTGTGTATTTTTGTGTCTTCTTACATACATATTCATTCTTTATACCATGGTTGTTCTACCCTTAATGTTCACCTTTAAGTATTTGATTGATGTAACATGTTTGTATGCTTCTTGAGCATGGGTCTTTGGGAAGCGACCTCTTAGGTAGGCTGAGGCCTGTGTAAACTTTCCCTCCCCAATCCCCATAGCCACTTGTGGAACTTTAGTGGGTTGTTTTTACAAATTAAGATGCTCCCAAAATATTTATTTTTCTTTGGAAAAGAGATTAAGTACATTGTGCAGCATAATAAAAGTATACAATCCTACAAAAAAAGTTAAATATTACATTATCTGCCCTGCTGCTTTCAAGAAAATGGCAAGGTATAGTATGGCAGTGCAGAACACCCTTAATTTGGGTTGAAGTAGGGGACAATTTGGATGCTGATTACAGTTTTGCCATCTTATAAATCAATTATTACAATTAAGATCTGTAGTTTGTAATATTTAATTCTAGTTTATTATCATAATAATATGCTATTTGGATGGTTATGATCTTGAGTGGTGTGATTTAAAGTATGATGTTTGTATGTTGTTGATTTGTCGTTAGCAATTCTGAAGATGAACAATTGATGTGACAAGTCGGGTGGTTGGGGGTCGGTTGTTGGGAGTAAATAGGGCAGGGTGGGGTTGGTTAGAGGTCGGTGCGGGGGTGTAAGTATGTTAGGGTGGGGTTGGTGAAAATGTGTGGTTGGATGAGTGGGGCTGGGTAGGAGATGAGTGTGGGTTAAGAGTAGAGTGCGTGGGTGCGACACGGGTGGGGTAGGGGTAAAGTAGGGGAAGCCGGAAGGGTGAGGACAGTTGTGTGGTGGGGGAGAGGAAGGACAATGTGAGTATGGGTGTATACTGAGAAAAGGAGAGCTATGATTTGAAATCACATGATTGTGATTCACCTGAGAGTAGTATGACTTATAAAACTTAAGTTTCGGAGTCAGAAACTCAAAATCATGACTTCAATCATGTTCCAAAAAAGTCTGGTTCAAAATCAAGTGCTGATTTTTTATTTAATCACGAGAAGAGATAAAACAGAAGAAGATACAACAACAAAAACAACAATCCAGTATAACCTCAGCTCCGTTGGGGTCCGGGGATCAAGATGTGCGTCCCTACAGAGAGACTGTTTCTGTTAGACTCTAGATGCATCGCTGCATTTACTTATTACTACCCAAAACTTAAGTAAGAAGAAAGGTAAGTTTAAGGTCCCATTTTGGTTTACCCCATTATGTTTCCAAAACTAAAACATTGTCAAGAATGACTATTTTAGCTCCATTGGCAATGGAGGGAATAATATATAACAAGATATTTTATGATTAAACCGGAGCTCCTTTTGAAGGAAAGCAATCAATGAAACTGGCATACCTCTCTGAAAAAGAACTTTTTTGCTCCTCTTTCTGACACCAAGAGATGAATCCCATGACACTCTTCCATCAGAGACATCCATGTCAGATTTTTCCCTTACTACACCCAACCTATAACCTTCTTCTGTGCCACTACATGCTTCCTTGATTTCATCAAAATGATTGTCACCAGTGACATCATTCTCTAACTTTTTCCCAGAAAGCCTTCTCCTTTTCTGCATTGTTCTGCCAGTTTCCCTCACCGAAGTCTTATTCCTGTGTAGTTCTCCTGTGTCGGCTTCCATGCTACCCTCATCTTCATCCATTTCACCGCTAAAAGGCTTGGAATTGACCATTTCCAGATTATATTGCTATTCAGAAGTCAAGTGAAGTTATTCTTGAGAATGTACACATAAGGAAGTTAAAGAAGTTCAGGTGGAAGTTAAGTTTTTACCCTCTTTTCAGCTTTTCGAGCAGGAGTGGATAAAGCACTGTCAGCTCGACAAGGTGTCTCAGACACCTGGGGAGATCCGCCTCTTTTTGAAGCTTCAGCTAAAGCTATTGCTATTTCATGAGCAACTTCATCATCATCGTTGGCATCTAACTTTCTTTTCAGGCCTTGCCTGCTCGAACAAAAGTAATTTCTATCATTAACATTTTCGTGAGAATGTGGTACAGGAAATCGTGGTGTCCTTTTTCCAACAACAGGAGGTCGTGTCCCTGTAAGAAAATTTCAGAAACCCATCATCAACAATAACAAATACATCAGCGTTATTCCATTACAACAAGAACAACCTAGTAAAATCCCAACTCCATTGGGTTAGGGGTCAAGATGTAAGCAGCATTAATCTTGTAAAAAAACGGGTAATTTCCGTTAAAGTTTAGACCCTAGATGCATTATGCATTCACTACCCAAAACTTCAAAGAAAGTAAGAATTTTTTTGTTTATCTATTATTTGCCCAGAGCTAAAGCATTGCCAAAAATGACTCTTAGCTCCATTGTCAAAAGTTGACATTATTGCATTAATGATGAAAGAACAAAAAGATGCATTCAAGGTGTATCAGCTATAAAAAGAAAGACTAATGATGTACTCCCTGTCCCATATTTACTACCTTTTACTCCACTTTTACTAAACCCAAAAAAGTAGGCAGCATTTAGAAAGTTCTCCTTTTGTTCTTAATCTTTGTGCCATTTTCACCTGAGAAGATGCTTTTGGAACGGAGGGAGTACAAAATATTCTAATTTAATATAAGTATAATATGCCCATAAATATGAGTGCCGGTGCAAAAACTTATTAAAATAGCACCAACAAGTAGCCTTGAAATTGATAACTAAATTCCTATTAAGGTTCTCATGAGAAAGCAGGTCACACACCTCCTGAGCGTTTCTTCTTCAATAATGACAAACAACCATAATTTGATGCTGGTGCAGGGAACTGCAAATCGGTCTCTTTAGATGTGGCAGTCTGGACTTTACTACGAGCACGTTTTTGAGGTTTTTGAGATGTTCCTTCGCCCTCATTGCTTTCTTGTTCACTGTCACTTCCAGCCTGCCATCCACACCCCCAATAAGTCCGTACAGCTGCACAAGTGAAGCCTCTCGAAAAGTCTAATGGTCTAAGTGCTCTAACTAGAAAGTCATCTAAAAAGGAAAGAGAAAAGGACTGCCAATTTCCTCATTCACAAAGAAGTAAATTGCATGTAGAAATTAGAACCTAAGAAAATAAAGTCGACTCAAATTTCTGATTTTTGTCACTCCTAATTAGTAAAAAGGTGGTCGAAATGTAGGAATAACAATTTCGTAAATTATAGAGAAAGAGTACGTAGTGATTAGACCAACTATATTGTATGGGGCCAAATGTTGGTTGGTGAATAATTACACAGACTCAAAAGATGGCAGAGATGACTCAATGACAATGCTAAGGTGGATGTGTGGACATACTAGCATAGACAAGGTTTGGAATGACAATATCTGGGACGATATGGGAGGACTTTTGTGGAGGATAAGATGGGTGAAGGGATGTTGTAAAAGAGAAAAAGTAGAATGGCATTAAGTGAAGCAATATTTGGAAGTTTAATATGTCTTGCACCACATTTATCTCACCATGTTGCAGTAGTGATCAGTCATCATTGCAATCAGCCCAACAACCGATGCAGTCCCCTCTGGAAGAGATAAGTAAGCCTGAAAGTAAGGAAGCATGTGGGTTATGAAAGCAGTAGTGTAGAAGCCTAGGAGGTAATATCCCTACTATTCATCAGGACTTTTTTTTAAGTAATACGGAGAATAAGATGCTTCTAGCTAAGCCTGCACATTGGTTGATAAACACTTACAAATGAAAAGTCATTGTGCTTAATGATCAAAACAGATTTTAACAGTTCATATTAATCAGTGGAAAAAAATGTATTCTGATATTTTAAAGTATCTTTCCAGATAGGCCGTGAGTATGAGGTCAGTGTAAGACCTAGTCATTTTTTACACTAAAATTGGGATATTACTTCCTACTCCAATGTGTGTTGTTTTATACTAGGCGCTAAGACAGAGGGTGTAAGTGTCCACGTGATTATGAGACACTTTATTGGCAGTATGCTTTTCATTAAGGGGAAGAAGATGTTTAAAAAACCACATTTACCATATTCATAGAGTATAGAGCCTCCACCATGTCAACTGATCGGTTTCTCACAGCCACAGCTACCTGCAAAAAACATATAATGTTTGTTTTTTTTGTGTTTGTGTAGACACTGTTAAAGTAGTCACACATATTGAACAATTCAAGTATTGAACACATGGTTTGTTTTGTGTGTTTCTGTGTGAGAGAGAAAACAGACCATAACTATCCTCGTGAGTAGTTTGCTTTTAGAATTAATTTTCATACTTACACAAACTGAATTTGATTTCGGACATAGTCTCTCGTTTTCTTATAACTAAACTATAAAAAGGAACAAAAGAAAAGACCAAGATTCTGATTGAGACCTAACCTTTTTCCAATCTTTACCATGTTTCCGGTATGCATCGTAGAAACGAGTCAGCTCTTCTTTAGTCCACTGGGGGCCTAACAGAGACAACTTCTTTTTCTGCAAACAACAAAAAATGAGCATGCAAGATGATTTTAAAGTTAATTGTGTATAGGTGTTATACACACACACACCATCATCATTATGAGCACCTTAACCCCAACTAGTTGGGGCCAATGGTAGTATATATATGGCACCAATTGACACTTCAGATTCATGCAGAAAAACATTTAGCGGCAATGTTTTACACTGGATCCCTACTTTCAAGGCCTTCATAAGTAAGACATACACACACATACAGAAATGCATGTCTGTGTGTGGAGAGAGGCAGATCATATCAAAAACACATTTTAGATGGGGAGCAACAATTTTACATGCATGTGTATTTAATATTCCAGAGACATTGCAAGAACGATAGGAGTCATTTAGTTCTGCAATTATACCTCCTAGTAAGACCATTGAAATCCCCCCCCCCCCTCATTCCAGTCGATCTCTGGAAAGGACATATCTAGCGTTTTGAAGCTAACACAATGGCAGACATTGGGAAGGCAAAAGGTAGACCACATTCTGCATTCAAGATGCGAGGTAAGACTCTACGTCTCTACCCACCCGCATCTCTCTATTCTAAAAATTATAAGTGCAAACAAAGAATCACTATGAGTCATAAAAAAAATAGTCCAATAAAACCAGCTCAAAAACATCACCCCTTGTGTCCTACTATTTTGAGACATGGGAAAGTGGCAGGCAAATATAGAAAAAATGGAAGTGAGTGGTTAACATTGAATTTGTAAAGAATGAATCAATTTAAGCCACATAATTCATACCAAACATGGCATGATAAAAAAAGGGACAACACTAGATGGAAAAAATAGACAAAATAGTGAGACAAACTGAGTGAAAAATAAACTGCACTGAGCTTTTAAAAAAAGGCGATATACATGTGGAAAAGAAAGTAAATCATAAACTCACCCGTTGAGTGTGTCTTTTTGAACCAACTCCATGTTTGTAAGGAGACACTTCATTTACATATCGTTTGTTTGCACTCCTAGATTTTCTTGGAGGGGACATAATTAAAATCCTGAAAATTTTTATCACGAGAAACAAAGAGTCATTTGATAGAAATGAATTTCAAATATGCATTTAAAAGAGCACATTTGCTACACATAGCTTTATAAGATCACCTCATTATAATATGTTACCTTAGTAGAAAACACTTCCAAACAGTGGAACTACACCACAAGAATCTCAATTTAAGACGATCACCTATGTTAGCATGGCATGAAGGTATGGGCATTACAAAAACTCAAATTCAAATAGTAAGTGATAGTGATTCCACACAAATATACCTTATATTCATGGCTGTAAAGACATTTAAAACAGAAAAGTAAAAATAAAACAGCCTCAAATTGTGTGCATTAACGAGAAGAGGTTTTGGCAACTTGGACAGAGGCCATCAACAATATGCCCAAGTTCAAAGATATCTTGGGGGCTAATGTATCATATAATTAGTAAAAAAATCAGGCGACCAGCATAAAATTGATGAGCTCAACAGATTGGGCCATACATGGCTCTATGTTCTCTTATTGATGGAGAACAAATTGACGATGTTATGAAGCGATCAGAGAGTATTTTGGGATTGGGATAGATAGTAGAGGGAGATCATGTGGGCTGGCCTTATGGTGGAAGAAGACAGTGAAAGTACATGGTTTTGTGGATGGACAATGGCCAAAAAGTCATAACATCTCTCTTGGGATTTACTCTCAGGCTTCTAAATGAAAAGCCTGAGATGGTGTGGGTATGTCTTGGGGATTTTAATCAAATAGTAGGGGATCATGAAAAAAGAGCGAGGAATGCCAGGGGAGAGGGGTGAAATTGCATTTCATAAGGCTTTGGATGATTCAAGAATGGTGCAAACAAGAGAGGAGATTGAATGCGTGGTTACTGATTATTTCAAAAAGTTGATCAATTCTTCGAACCTGGTGAATGTTGGAGGTCCTTGATGTTGATGATGCTCTAGCTGTATTGGCACCAAGCATTGATGATAATATGAGATGGAAATTATGAGACCCCAGTCATTGTGGAAATCAAGCAAGTTTGGACCAAATTTACCCCACTAAGGCTCTTGGGGGTGACGTGATGAGTGATTTGTTTTTTTAAAAAAATGCACATCGTTGGTAAGGATGTGTCTTCATTAGTGCTGGATATTTTAAATGGTGATATATTTCAGTTTTCCCCATCGTTTTTGCCACCCATATTATCAATATTCCCAAGACAAAGAATCCTAAAAAAATGAATGAGTTTAGACCCATTAGTCTATGCAATGGCATTTACAAACTTGTAGCAAAGGTAATGTCAAAAAGGTTGAAAGGTGTTGACAATTAAAAAAGATTGAGACGAAGAATAATAATATTGCATCCTCATTGCACCCAAAGCAATTCTCATTCGTTATGCACAAACCCAAACTTTCATTATGCACACAGAGCAATTATCATTGCTTGTGCCCATTCCTCGTCATTATCACCAGTCAATTTGACGTAGGTGATGTGACTCTGGTTTATCAACAGAACACCACTTTTCCTCTTCTTTGGGCAGTTTGATATTTCCAACAATAAACCCAATTTTTTCCTTTAAACAAAGAGCAATTCTCAATTCCAGCACTCATTCTCCAAAATTATGACCAATTAAGTTAACATCGGTGGCATAAAATTATGGGGTATTCCCAGCTCGTATGGAGTGAACCCCATCTTTTCTTCTATTTCTTTTTATTTTTCCATTGCAGCACGGCCAGCAACCTTTGTCACCATCAACATGCAGCAATTCCTTTTCTTATTTCTCTTCCTCTTCTATGACTGACTATTGCCTTCGACTATGCCTTGTCTCTTTTTTCTTCTTTTTTTTAAGATTGGGATGAGTACAGGGTCATAAGACATTTAGGTCAATGTTGTATTAATCCATTTTTCATTCTCTAGTTTTATGATACGGGATACTTGAACACTCCCGTGAGTGATATCAAAACAATCTAACAAAAACGTAACGTGAAAGCATTTTGATTAAAATATAGTATCGTGATGCTACCAAAATGCTGGGCCAAACGCCCTTCGAGACAAAAAAAAGTTGGTTCATATACGACCATGGCCATAAACAAGTGCCAGCAGTTCGACTGAAATCTGTGCCAAACTAACATGAATTCAAACTCTTTACTCTAAAAAACATGAGTTACCCCCCTCACAATCCTCTCGGTCTGGGGTGTGGGGGCGCCCGGGTTGGGAGTTCCACCTTTTACTCTAAAAAACATGAAATGGAATTTGAGAGTGGAAGTACAAATAACTAAAAAAAACACTCACATACAAAATGCAAATTGAAAGCCCTTCACCTTGTTTAGTAATCTGAAGATAATTAAACAAATTCACCTTGTTTAGTTATCAGATTGCTCGAGTGGGAGCCAGATGAAGAATATGAATCCATGGTTCCTACTTCCTAATGTTCCGGTTAATTATTTAATGGCCGATCATATACGACATGATGAAATGTCAGGCTCTCGAATATTAAAAAACATTGAACTGGAAATTGTGATTTGAATGGAATCTGCGAAATTATATATTTCTACTAAAAATCTAAAATTATGCAATTTTGAGAAAAGAATGAGCAGGTATGGAAATTACAGAGTGGAATAGGTTGCAGCAGAGCACTTAACGACGATGGCACTTCCCGCCGAGGAGTTCTCCGGGACGGAAAAAATGAAGCGATCAGGCAAACTGCTGCGGTGATATGTGATGCGGACGGAGCAGGAGGGAAAAACTACACTACATAAGTATTCCGTACATAAATACTCTTTAGGTATGAGCATAAAATTTTAATGATGTTTGCTTTTACGAGGCTTGATCAACTTTATTTTTAATTTAATTTATTTGATTATACATGTAAAATTAAAAAATAAAATTTATATATAAAAATTACATCAAGAGTTCTATAAAACAAGAGATGACAAGACTATATTATTTTATCAATTAACTAACAAAAATAGGTAAAGAAAGTCATTTAAGTTTGACCGTGTGAGTAGTACTGAGAAGATAGTTTTAAGACGGAAAGAATACTACATTTCCTTCCAATTTCTTCCCACTATTCTCGTTTTTTCAAACTCTTTCTACTCCCGAATTAATTACCCTAAAAATGATATATTTTTAATATGATTATTATTGTTGTTGTTGTTGTTGTTGTTCATAACTATGTTGAAACACGGGTTTATCGCTTTTTCGTACTAAAGCCATGTTCGTTTTTATGACAGGTTTTGATAATGTCAAACTGTCGTGAACGAGACAAGTTGTGAAATATACAAGGCGAGAAATAAATATAAGAAGAAAGCAAGAGAACAAGAGCTAAAAGAGACCAAGAATGAAGACTGTAATCTTTAGCGTCATTGAGTCGTTCACAATGTGATCAAGACCGACTCAAGCTTTGCACTTTGGCTATTTAGGCTAAAACATTTTTTTATTGCATTTTACATATCATCAAATTTATTTTCAAACATGCTCAAACATATTAAAAACACTTTGTGTTCGCCCAAATCAAAAACCAAGCCATCCGGGGTTCGGCTTTCGAAAACCGGCGTTCGGCATTCGGTTATCGGCGTTGGTTTTTGGCGTCCGAACCAACCAAGTGGTTTTAAACTTTTTATGATTGGTTTTTACTTCTGGACACATTTAAATAGTTTTCCATCAAAAACACTTCAAAAACCACCTTTCATTTTTTGTCGTTTGATAAAAACCATGCGAAACGGCATAAATTTGGCTAGCCGTGGTTTTTACTTAAATGAAGTGGTTTTCGAGTGTTTTTGTGTGGGAATTGTTTTTGAATGCATTTAAATGGTTCTCCAATCAAAACATCATGAAAACCACCTTTCGGTTTTGTCTTTTGGTAAAAACCACCCGTGTACGGCATTGACTTGGTCAACCGTGTTTTTTACCTTAACGACGTGGTTTTCAACTTAAAAAGCTTGTTTTGACATCACAGTACATTAAATAAGTGTTTTATATACTTAGTTTTTACTTTGGAGAACTTTACATTTTTCGGTCGGGTTTTAGTGTCGGTCAGCTAGGCCATGGTTCTGGGCTAGCCATCTACCCAGCGATGGTAGATATCACTCATCCATGGGTAAGTGATCCCGGGATTCTAGAATCATTCCACCCAGCGATGGGAGATATTACCCAGTGATGGGTAAGCATCCTTCAGCCCAACTGATTTCCAGAACCATGCCAAACAGCGATGGGGAAGTTTTACCCATCGCTGTTTAAGCCTTGGTCCAATATTTTCACAAGGCAGAATGCCCTTACCCAGCGATGGGAACCTTTACCCATCGATGGGAACCTAGCGATGGGAGGGCATACCCATGGCTGGTTAGGCATGACCGTTGCAAGTCATTTAAGGCTGATTCTTTCCTTGTTTGAAAGTCAACCTCCCACCCAGCGATGAGAAGCATTTACCCATCGATGGGTAGGTGACCGTTGGCTTCAAAATAGAAGGAAAATTGGCTTACCAGCGATGGGTGAGTCTAAACATCGATGGGAAGCCAATATCCTGCAGATCCCAAATTTATTCAATCCCATAAATCAAGCCAATCACCCCTTTAATGTATTGGCCCGTTGGAGCCCATTTTGGAACTATAAAAAGGGGTGTTTGGGTCTGCTTTTATCATCAATTCACTTCACTTTATTCATATTATCATTGCATCCAAACAACATTATTTTCCATAGCTTTCTAGAGCCAATTTGTGAAGTTTGAGTTGTTCTTGAGCGTATATAGTTTACTCAACATCTACTCTTAAAAAGAGTCTTGTTCTTGAGTGTTCTTAGTGTTGTAAACACGTTTAGGGAAGCTTGTTTCCCTTGGTTGTACGAAGGTAAGGTATTTTCCTTCGGGTTGAAGTCTTGGAGTGCGGTATCTCCGAGCAAGTGTATTGAGCCTCGTGGGACTCGAGTTCTCAGGTTGTAACGGTTTGTTAAGCACCCGTAAGCTTAACGGAAGTAGTGTAGCTCGAGAGAGTCTCTCGGGAGACTGGACTAGCCACACGTTGTGGTGAACCAGTATAAATCTTGGTGTGCTCCCTTTACTCCTTTTTATTCCGCTCTTTACTTTATCCCTGCGATTTTTATTCTGCGAAAATTTATAAACATTCTCGTGCCTCACTATTCACCCCCCTCTAGTGAAGGGCACTTATTCTAACAAATTATAGTTTACAAATTATTATCTGTATCCCAACGTATTTGTCCACTTTGACTTTTTTCTAATCAAACTATACAAACTTTAAACTTCTATTACTCTTAATTTGTATTGCATATTGGTACAATTAAATAAGGTTATGAAAGTTCTCTGTTAGATATTAATAAAAACTTCCTTAAAAAAATATTAATAAAAACATTTTTACACAAATACTCCGTATACATTACAACTTTTGTTTAATTGAAGTTCAAAGTTCACTCTATTTGACTTAAAAAAGTCAAACTGGACAAACACACTAGGACGGAGAGAGTTTTTTTTCATCTCACTATTTTTAAGATTCACACTCATTGTTTTTTCTTCAACTTTTTTATATGAATAAGACAATTTTTTTGAATATTAACCTAAATGATAAAATAGGAAAATATCAATATTTTAAACTATATTTAAAAATTATGAATAAAATAGTTACATAAAATGTTTTAATGACCTAACTTTATATAAGACATCACTTTTCCCTTTATTACTCAAAACTTTCTCATTTTTCTAATTTTTATAAAAAAAAATAGAAACTCAAAATAGTTTAGAGAAAAAGACTAAAATAAGAGTAAAACATAAAAAATGTAAAAAAAAGTTATATGTCTTTATTCCAAAAATAGGACTTACAATGAAAATAAAATGTCAATCATGAAAGAAAAAATAAGTTTGATTATATTATGTGGTATGTCTGATATTTATAACAAAATCTTGTAATATATTAAGTTATAATTACAAACATATTATTTATAATAAATACTGCATAAATAAATTGAGGTGCAACGTAACCATAAAAACTTTTTAAAAATTAATTTTTGATATTTATGATAACTTTATATTATAATTATTTTTGCAAAAGTAATTTTTGTATTTGAAAAATAACAATACTTTTTTATTTTCAAGGCATTAATTAAGATAACGTGATGATGATGATGATCATAATTGATGGTCAAGAACCACCGAGAATGAAGAATAATATAAGTTTTAGAGAGAGAGAAAGAGCAAAGTAGTAGTTTTTTCGTTTCTAACTTGGATCCATTACAATGAGGGGTCTCACCCCTTTTATAGGGGATACAATACACATAGTCAAAGTTTCTCTGATCGAAGTTCGTCGCCTAGCGGACGTCATCCCTGTTATGCGTTGTCCCTTTCATCCCGTCGCTGTCGCGCAGTCAACGCGGCCGGTCGCTATCCAGCAGTCGCTATCATGGTCCCCAGTCGAGCCCGCTACCCGAGCCGAGCCCATAGAGTGAGCCGAGTTCATGGGCCGAGCTGGGAAGATCCTCCACGTGGCTGATGGGTACCGGATGACGTGTCTTTTGGGGCCGTCCTCCATCAATAATAATAATAATAGTAATAATAATAATATAATGATAATAATTTATAACAATAAGAATTAGAATCAGAATAATATAAAAGCACAGTAAAATATTTTTTTGAAATGTTTTTTAGGTTTTCCCATTTTTAAGATTTTATAGTTTTTTCTCGGTCTTCCATTTTTCCAGTTTCTTCCAGTTCCTTTCAGTTTTTTCTAGTTCCTTCCAGTTTCTTTCAACATCCAGCTCTTTTTTTCGGTATTAAAAAACACTCTAAGTAAAAAAAACATCGTATGTAATGTAAGTCGTTTGAGCTGATTTGATTTACCTATCTAATTTTATTAGGCATGTTCTTGAGCTGACTTGATTTATGTGAGAAGATCCATAAAAAATAACATGCACTCAAGGTGTACCATAGAAGCACGCTGAAAAAAAAAGTTGGATGTTAAAAGAAATTTTAAAAAAATTGAAAAAATTGAAAAAAAAAACTAGAAAAAATTAGATTGAACTAGAAAAAAAATAGAAAATCTAAAAAAACTTTTAAAAATTGTCATTATTATTAATTTAGTGTTAAAATTTAGTATTATTATTATTATTATATTCATAATCATGCTATATTAATCATGTAGTTTATTTTTCAATTTTAATTTTAATTTTTCCCATATCACTATTTTTGTGATTCACAGTTATTCTTATTTTTTCATTCTATTTTAATATAAATAATATCAAGTGCAATTTGTAGGATCGATTTTTGGAACTTTCGAGTGAGTCACCCATCCTGGGGCTACTGTTGTTCCAGCTGTTCCAGCACGCTTAACTATAGAGTTCTAAAGTTAAAGAGGTGCCAAATGCTTCATAAAACCAATTGGTAATAGGAAGGTGGACACTCACTATTTAACCACATCTCTTTGTAGCCTCAAGCCAAAATAGATTCATATAGGGCACTTCCTACAGTTCACTACGGCAGTGCGGAGCCCCACTACTGAGCGGTGGATGGACAGGAGGGGCTTCGCAACATACACGACTCACGTACCTCGTCTTGTTGAGCTGTCAATACCCGATAACAAGACAAGCACAGTAGCGAATCCCTGAGGGTGATCGATGGCCCCATAAGACCAACACAATTTCATTAGGAAAATTATTTTACTAAATTATGTTTAAAAAGGTAGGGATAATTTATTAATCTAAATTGACCTAGGAAAAACACCAAAATATTAGATTAAAAACTAATAATTGTACCACTCTCTTTTTACCTAATTAAATGGCATGCACACAATTTACGTGATCAAATTTATTTACATAGAGTAATGCTAGAGTCACAAACAAACAGTTCACAAAATTCACAAACTTGCTTTTTTTTTACATTTTTCTAGAAAATAAGATGCACTCAAATCATAAAAGTTTTTTCATTTTAAAATTCACAAAAGGTAAATTTGTGAAGTTTGTGAACTATTTGTTTGTGACTCTAGCATTTTCCATTTATATACTCTACCTATAATAATAATAATAATAATAACAACAACAACAACAACAACAACAACAACAATAAAAATTATAATAAGAATAATAGGTAAAATAAACGTAACATAAATAAATTTTTGAAAACCCTTTTTGTTTTTTCTTAGTTTCTTCCATGTTTTTCCATTTTTATATACTCTTCGAGTTCCTTCAAGTTTTTCTATTGTCTTCCAATTTCTTCAAATTTTTAAAGCTCCTTCTAATTTCTTCTAATATTTAGATACTCCGTATTTTCTAGTCCTAAAGAACATACTCATAAAGTTATTTCAAATATAATATATTTTGATCTGATTTCCAATAAAATAGATAATAAGAATAGTAATAAGTTGAACTGGAGTGAAACATGTTGGTATAGTGACAAAGAAGTCATCCCAAACTTTTTCACAACGAGTACTGAGTCCTACTCTTACGTTTATGAAGTTGAGATTAATTTGAATAGTACTATACTAGCTGATGAGTATAAGAGCTATAAAAAAGTTGGATAGGATAATCTCTTAGATAACTAATGTCTATTTGAAGGAAAGTGTGATGAAAATTGGGAGGAAATTGATATTTTTTTATTGTTTGGTTGAAGAGAAATAAGAATCCAAAGATATTATAAGGGAATCAAATTGGTTAAATTTCCACTCACTTTCTTCCTACCAAACAAATCAATGGAAATGAAATTTCCACTCACTTTATTTCTTCTCATTTCTTTCTCATCCACTTCTTTATGTTGCCAAACACAGGGTTAAGATTTGAAATTTCTAGTCACGAACTTACAATCACACTGACCCAAACTATCCGTTGAGAAAATGGATCATGCGATTAAAGTAGGATAGACTTATGAATCGTAAAAATACTTCGAGTTTAAAGTAATTTCAACTATATTTAAAGCTAATAATGAAATCAAACATGAGCTGCCTACAACGAATGCTTATATAATAGACATTTTCGCTTTTTTAAAATAAAGATGGCTCATCTCAATCCTAAATATTTGTTTACTTTGTCCATATGCATTTGAATCATACCACGGTCCACAATGCATATACTATATATACATATGTAATTTGAGTAGATATAGGAGATGAGAAAGTCAACTCGATTGTAAAAAAGTATTGGAATACTACATTGTAGTATTCGAGTACTTTGGGTGTCCCATTCTTTCAGTATCATTTCTAGCAATTGATAATTATTCCGATGCAAAGTAGAGTATTCAAATATTGGTGTGTCTCATTCTTTCGTGAAAAATCAGTACCATATTTGAATACGGGGTGTTAGGGTCATTGGAAAGTTGTTAGACGTGAAGTACAAGTACTAACTTTAGTATTTGAATAATTTGTTTTTTTATGTACCTTGGACCACACAACCAATGATGGGCGCCCCTCACTTCTTGCATTTAAATACATGAAATCACAAAGCTAATATACGAGAACTTTAGTATTTGAATACTTTGTTTTTTTATGCACCTCGGACCACACAACCAATGGTGGACGCTCCTCACTTCTTGCACTTAAATGCATGAAATCACAAAGCTAAGCTAATATACGAGTGCGCATTCCATACCACACCTCATAATTCGGAGTAATGTTTATTACTCCCTCGGTCTGGCTATGTATGTCCACTTTGGTTTTGGCACACAAACCAAGGTGATGTGTAAAAAGTCAAAAGTACCCTTAGCCCAGCCTTTCTCAACACCTCTTTCACAATCCACCCCGCTCATGGCTTAGATCAAGCATATAAGTGTGCCGCCGCCTAATCCATCTCAACTTCCTCCATCATTCATCTGACGCCTACCAACCAACCACAATCCCTACCAGCATCCATCCTCCACCATCTATCTATCTGATTCAAAGTAAGAAAACTAAAATATAGAGAAACTCTTCCAATCTGAAACCTTAAAATCTTGGAAGAGAGTGCAACCGAACTTGAAATCAGCACATGAGTTGTGAATGAGGACATCGATTTCCCGAGGATCGACCGAGACATGCTTGACTTGAAGCCTTCCCGACTGGATTTCGGTCTAGAATTTGTGACACCACTCTTGTGGGAAGATTGTCGACGTTGGCGGCGAATTGAAGAGTCATCCTTACAACTTGGATCCAATTCAAGAATATCGGGAGGAGGAGATATAGAATTAAAGAAGAAGTTTGGGGCTTGGATCTTCGAAAGAAAATCATGAGGAGAGATTGAATCAGAAGATGAAAAATGGCTAATAACTGGTTTGGTTGAATGAGTGTACGTGACTTACACTAAGACCAAGACCAAGGTTTGGTCTGTTAGGAGGCTCACCTTATCAAAGATCGAAGTGACGTATCAGCTTAGGTTATTATTCTATATCCGGTCTAGAATTAGATAAGCTCGCTCCATTAATTTACAGTATCACATTTAGACTCTAAGTTTGGCAATTTGCACATCTTCATCATGTACAATTCTTATAGTCTTTATTCATCAACTTCATAATACCTCCGTCCCAATTTATAACGTCTGTTTCGGTTTACGATGTTTGACTGAAATTATTTTCAAACCATTTTATATGACAAATGGTATAGAATTAAAAAATAAAAATTACATATTAAAAAATTACATCAAAAGATCTACAAAACTAGTAGTGACAATAATATTTTATTTTATCAAATTGCTAACGAAAATAGAGAAAGAAAGTGAATGAAGTTTGATCCTGTGAATAGTAAACATGCATTATAATTTGGGACGAAGGGAGTGATATTTATTGGTGTTTTATGCGCCCGAAAGCCCAACACCAACTTCTGGGCGTAGAGTAAGTGCTTTAGAGTGGGGGGAGGATAACTCAATTTAGTATTGGAAGTAAAAGATCCTTCTATTAACTAATTACAAGTGCAAGGGTCTTGGCCCCGAGATATAACAGGAGTGAGCCTAATGTAATGTCGTTCGTTTTCTCTCTTTAGAATGCCCTCCATTTCTTAATCCATAGCTTCCTCTCTTCTATTTATAGGAGGAGGTTTTGGTGTGAAGATTTTGGCGGAAATTTGGAATGACTCTACAATGGTGTCACTGTATGTTGGTTGCTAGCGAAAAACATGCATATCAGACGTCGCCTCTGCATTTAATGCAATGTACGAATGTTATGATGGGCAGGATGAAATAACTGGCCCGACTTAGGGTGGTTTTTGTTTGACCCCCTACCTGAGTCTTGGACGGTACTTCATGCATCCAAGTGTGTCCCGATCGACGGGCGGGATGTCAGTTATGGTTCGAGTCCAATAACCGGTCGGAATATAAGCCGATATTGGTCGGTGCTTGTATTGGGACACGAATTATCTAGGTCGACCCACGGTCATTGAGCCTTTAACCCCACAATATTGAATGACAATTCAAGTCAAATTCGACATGTATCAATTTGATTTGACCAAAATCCAAACATGAGTTGCAAAAACTCAAATTTAAACTAAACTGGATTGAATTTAAATACGGAGTATATAAATTTTGTCCAATAAAATATTGTACACATTTTTTTAAAAAATATCTCAAAAATAAATTTACACATTTCATTGTCTATTTGGAGAATGATTATATAGTTGCCAATAAATGAATCCTTTTCAAATAAATTATAAATCACACCTTTTTTTAAGTTTAACCACAGTATGTGATTTTTTAGAACATATGTGAAGTTAGTATATCAATTTAATTTTATAAAAGAATAAAAGTTGAATATCCCCGGCCCTAGGCATGGCATTTTACACGTACGGTTGTTTATGTTTATGTCCAGACTGAAAAATTTGACCGAATCAAAATGTTAGATCGAGAGTGACTAGATTTCGAGTTTGTCTTTGCTCCACATTATTCTTAGGTTTTGGGTTTTGGCCTGATCTGGTCCAAACCAGATTTATAATTGGTCTAGACAAAGATACCCATTAAGAATAAGGAGTAATTTAATCCACTAGTAATCTATCATTGCACGCATCTCAACTTTCAAACCCCAAAAATCTGTGCTGATGTCCAGATTTTGTGGATCATTCTTATTTTTTTGGGTGCGTCTGAATCAATGCCGGCACAATAGGATGACAGGCAACCCGTCCGAACCGGACCCCTCTTTTTAAGGGGCCCAACTTTTTAAAATAATATATATAACCAACCCAGCATGGGATGGAATTGAAGGGGGTGAGTGGGTATGTTCGGGTTGGAGTGGAGTGAGGGGGTTTACCGGGGTAGGAACCGTCAATTTTACGAACGGGGCACCAGAGCACCCTTGGGTCATCCCATGACATTGTCGGGCAATGTCATTGGAACCGTCCCCATATATATATGTGTGTGTGTGTGTACACACACACAGATATATATACAGATATATATATATATATATATATATATATATATATATATATATATATATATATATATATATATATATATATATAACGCCCTTTATTTTCGCCCTTTGTGTCCTCCCTTATTAGAACGCGTAAACTAGGCAAGTCACAGAGAAAGCCAGAAACGAGGCAAAATCGGAAAAGAGAGAGAGGGAGAGGCAGTTAGGGGTGAGCAGTTTAACTAAATTGACCGATTAACCGATACAATTTAAACCGAACCAACCGCAATTTTAAATTCGGTTTCGGTTTTCGATTCTAATGTCTAAAATTTTCGGTTAATTCGGTTATCGGTTTCGGTTCTGGGCAATGTTAACCGAAACCGATCGAATAACCGAGCTCATAATATGTGTATTAAATATATGTAAGCTCAGTCCAAATCTTTTAAGTTATAGCCCACTTAAAAAAATCCAATTCCCAACCCAATTCCCAATCCATCTCCCAATTTCCCAAGTCGGCAGCAGCCATCAAGTCCCAAGTCTGCTCTGTCGTTCTCGGTCCTCACCGGCAATCACCATCTCCCATTCTCCGGGTTCTGGCGTTCTCAAACCGACACCAAGATCGGAAATCACATCTCCGTTCCGACGTCACCAATCGACAATCACCCCTAGAGGCAGTGGTCGAGATTTCTTTTGCTCACAGACTCTTTTTGGTTTTACCGGCCGGCCCAAATTCCGTTAACACCAAGTCACAGAATCTGGTTATTTGGAGAACTCTACTGTCTTCTACACCCTAGAAAGCTGAAACATCCATGAACTCATCACCTCTCCCATACCCAGGTATTCCATTATAATTGCTGTTTTGATCATATCCAGATATGAAACCCATATTTAGATGCTTTTATTGTTGATGAATTTTTAGATCTGTGGCAAATGAATTTTGAATTTGAAACACCACCATATAGATCTTCTACGTATTTGCCTTGCTATATTCTATTTCACAATGGCGTGAGTTTATGTTTTTATTATTGATTACAGACCTCAACTGTATGATTTGTTTTTTAATGCGAACTTGATGTTTTTTTCTTAGTTTTCTATGCCAAAATAAGCTTGCTAGGCTCTTAAATATTTGTCTAGACACTTAACCAATCCCGAGAAAGTGAGTAAATTAATGAGTTACTCTGGCGAGAAGTGGCGAGAGACACGAAGGCTTGAAAATGTTAACAAGGCCATGTGAGTGCATCCATTGGCGTAATAAAGACTTGCGTTAAAGATTTATATCGGCATTAAGGAAGACAATTGCATGCCTAAAAAATTTTATCATTTACTTATTATGGGGGTATATTCTATCTAGATTTTAAAAGATCATTGTAGATTATTTAGCATTTATATATTATGTAAATTCAACATATTATTTTAATTCTATGTTGATTTGGATAGATTTTATTATATGTAGGATTTTAAAAGATTGTGTTTAGATTGCTCAAAATCCAAACAATAATAACGTGAAACAAAAAAAATTTACCTTGAAAAAAAGTTTAGCAAAAAGAAAGATAAAAACCAAAAACTGAACCGCAAAGAAAAAATTGATCAAAAATAATTCTGGAGCATATAATTTACCATGAAATTTTTTTAACAGAGAAAAATCAAAAATAAAAAAATTGAACAAAAAGCAAAAACTGAAAAATATACAAACTCTAGGGAAAAAATTGAACAAAGCCAAAAACAATTACATTGAAAGCAAAATCGAACAAAAACCAAAGCAAAAACTGTATAAAAAAATATATAAACAGAATAAGTAGTACAACGTATAAAATAAGGAGTATCAGTACAGGGCAATCCCTAGCATTGATTTTGTAGATCCAATTCCAAGGCATCTACTGGGTCTGTCTCATTTTTACTGATTGCCCGCCGCTCCTCTCTCATCTCAATTACATCTCCCATCGGTTCCTCCATTTCAATAAATCCAATCACTTCGCCGCCGCCGTTGTCTTCGTTTTCCTGGACCTTAACTCCACGCACCGTTGAACATCCAGGTGCATGTTTTATGGTGCATCTTCTTTACTTTCTAATTGTGTTCTTGCTTTGGTTTTAAAATATGACGCTTATTAGATCCTTCAATTCGATATTCTTGATAACTCATTGTATAACTATATGTGATGGTAGATCAAAAGATTTGTTTGCAATTCAAGGCCGTATTTTTATCTTCAGTATTAGCATATTAATTTTCACTTTTTTTGATCTACTATTTCATTTTTCCATTTAATTGTTCTATTTTTAAAACCACTGCGTAGCAGATTTTTTTGAAAAATTCCCTTCTTATTCTATGCCTTAGATCTCTGGATTGATATATTTACTTTTATCAACTCATTAAACCCACAGAGAATAATTATTCTAGTATAGAAGTCCCATATAAAATTAGCAACTGTAAATCTTAAGACGATCGTATACCTGTTTTTATGCCTTATATGATTTTTTTTTAAATTTTTCCTACATAAAATATATACTCTTTAAGAATAAAAAATCATACGGAGTAATTTTTTCTTGAAAATATATGCTACCTTTTGAGGCCAGGGTTGCCATTTAAATATAATATTTCCAACTGATTCATTTTTCATTATTTTTATTGTCACTCAAACAGGCTGCGAAGATTATTACAATCCAAAAATCCACATCATTACTCAAAAAAGTAAGTCCTACTTTACTCATTGTTTTATGGCATTTTTTTTAAATAAACGCTTAAAATTGACTTCTATTTTGTTAAAATTAATTCACCTCCTAAACTGGATACAATTCCGTAGTAAATATTTAGTACTATCTCTCAAAATGGTTCGTATATGTTAATTGTTAAAAAAGGGTATTCATTATTCATAAAATAGTTTTCAAACATTAATGTTTTGACTTTTGAGAAAAGTAAACGGGTATGTATAAATAAATTTAATAAAGCATGGTGGGATAAGAAAATGAAGAGAAAGAAAATGATGAGAAAAGAAAATGGGAAGAAAATGGGAGGAAAACAATTGTTCTTTGGATGACACGAAAATGGTAAGAATAGTGAAAGAAAATATTATACTATAAATTATCATTGGTACCATTTTCTTATCTCCTAAAGTGAGAAAACTTTTTTCCCATTTGATTTCTCCCATTTTTGTTCACAACCATTCAACCAAACATGAGAAAGTTTCTTAAAATTTGTGTTCTCATCATTTCTTTTCTTTCTTATCATTTTCCCTACATTCAAACAATAGCTTTAATGGTGTGTAATGACTATTAGTGGTGGTTCACTATAAGTGTAAATAGTATAGAAGGGGTGTCTATGAAGATAGTTGAATATAAGGCATCGCTAGCGTACATGAATTCACTGCATATATTATGGAATTACATGTTATGAGAAAAAATAATATTGCTCACCACATTTGAAAAGATTCACTAACCTTGCCTAAACCAAATATACATGGGATTTCGAAGTAATTGGTTGAATAAATCTCTACATTTTCATTTTGGATTTTGAGTTCCCAACACTTCCATGGCTAGATTTTCATTCATAGATCAATATTATGTTATGCCCTATTAATAATATCCATTTTTATCTAAATAAAATGTAAAGTAGTTAAAGTTAGTAACTTAGAGACGTTAGTGTGGCACCATTGGCCAAGCAAACATCACATTAGTAATTACCCTTTTGGGGGACAGCTTCATAGGACACTTAGTGCATAGAGTGTAGCACGAGAGTAACTTAATTCAACAAACTATTTTTTTTTAAGAAATAGAAAGTTTATAAGTATATAATTTATAAAAGTGCTTTAGTTTTACTCTTTGCTATTCATAGAGTGAAAAAGATGTCTATGACTTGGGATTCCTCCTCATCAACAATTACATTTGTTTGCGGCTTGTCAATAATCTTATTGCCTTTAAGATCTGTTTTTCAAAAATAAATATAAACTTTATTTGGTAATCTTTAGTGGTATATGATAAAACAAAAAATGAAATTATTGCCAAGCATTAGATAGTCACCAGGTTGCTCCAATGAATTCATATTCTCGAATTGTTTGAAAAACTTTTTTTTTGGAAATTTTGGGTCTAAAATCATATTGCATCACCTAGCAATAATGAGCTTAAAATTATTCACATCAACAATCGTTTTAGAATTCTTTTTCTTCCTTAACTGTGTACACTTCACCCTCTTTGAGTATTGGTTTGTATTGTGCCATTAAACCTTTTGGATTCATAGTGGCAATTCTTTTTTTCCTGAAAAAAGTAGACAATGCTTCAGTTTGTTGGTATCCTTTTTTAGCTAAACTGTATAGAAAAAATGAATAAAATGTACCTCACAATCTTGGAAAACATATTTGATGTGATACGCATACCCATGCCATTGTCTCTTAGAAGCTGCAAAACATATGGATGGATGAGACATTAATTAAGAGGAGCAAAGGTGTTGGGAAATATCACTGTAATTTAGGAGGAGCAAAGGTGTTGGGAAATATCACTATAATTTAAGAGGAGCAAAAGCGTTGGGAAATATCACTATATAATTCTCTAAAAATGGACCAAAATGGGGCCATTCGAGAATTCAATTTCAACTGAGAAATTGGAGATTTGGATGGAAGGAGCAGAATGACCTCTTTTATAAGCATTATATGTAGCAACGCAAGTGCATTATTATCGTGCACAATTTTAACAATTAATTGTATGTAATGCAGGTTCTTTGAATATCACATGTGTAATACCTTTTCAAGCTATCTCCATTACGTACATTAGGTGTTGTTGAATATTGAGATGTTTGGTGGCTAGCGGGCTGCATTTGTAAGTGCTAGAAAGCAGAAACAGTGTATAGGAAACTAGCGGTATAAGAAGATAGTAATACTCAGCAATAGGACTCGTACTATTCGCCATAATTAATCTTGAAGGTATACATTACACATCCTTATTTAAAAGTCAATGTGTGTCCTCTAGTGACTAGGGCTACACTAAGACAATTTTACTTCATAGGCTATAAAGTAGTGCTAACTAAATCTTATGTACCTTTGTTTAATAAGCTCAAGAATATAAAAATGGGTTCACTTCAAAAGGATTAAAATAGCCTTTCAATTTAAATTTCAAAACTACCTCGGAACTGAACCCAACCACNTACTCAGCAATAGGACTCGTACTATTCGCCATAATTAATCTTGAAGGTATACATTACACATCCTTATTTAAAAGTCAATGTGTGTCCTCTAGTGACTAGGGCTACACTAAGACAATTTTACTTCATAGGCTATAAAGTAGTGCTAACTAAATCTTATGTACCTTTGTTTAATAAGCTCAAGAATATAAAAATGGGTTCACTTCAAAAGGATTAAAATAGCCTTTCAATTTAAATTTCAAAACTACCTCGGAACTGAACCCAACCACCCACTGAAGAGAGCTTGTAGGCTGCATGGACGCCTCAGAATCCAAACACCATCAAAAACACCATCGTGCGCATTCCTCGCCTCTAAATCCATCAGAGGCACTATTGTTCACCTCTAAATCCAGCAATGCTTCCATCGTGTAACGGATAGACGACGGTGGTGGTGGCGGCGGCGATGGATTGTAGCTAAATAAATCATTGCCAAGTCAAAATTGTGGTTGGAATGTCTTCAGAAGAAAGAGAAAGTGGAAATGTATATTGGGACACTCAAATATAAAGTGCAAACCAAACGGGAAGTCCCTAAATACCCATCAAAACATGAGTGGATTGAGTCTCCCCAATAGTACATTGGAGTTATTTCTATTCTTCTTTGAAATCTATAATAAGGAATAAACTAAAATTAACACATAATTTGTGAGAATCATGTGTTATTATTAATATTATAATCAGTGTTAGCACAACCCTCAACAAAACTTGTGCATACGCCACTGGATGCACTCACATGGCCTCGTTAACATTTTCAAGCCTTCGTGTCTCTTGCCACTTCTCGCCAGAGTAACTCATTAATTTACTCGCTTTCTCAGGATCGGTTAAGTGTCTAGACAAATATTTAAGAGCCTAGCAAGCTTATTTTGGCATAGAAAACTAAGAAAAAAACATCAAGTCCGCATTAAAAAACAAATCATACAGCTGAGGTCTGTAATCGATAATAAAAACATAAACTCACACCATTGTGAAATAGAATATAGCAAGGCAAATACGTAGAAGATCTATATGGTGGTGTTTCAGATTCAAAATTCATTTGACATAGATCTAAAAATTCATCAACAATAAAAACATCTAAATATGGGTTTCATATCTAGATATGATCAAAACAACAATTATAATGGAATACCTGGGTATGGGAGAGGTGATGAGTTCATGGATGTTTCAGCTTTCTAGGGTGTAGAAAACAATAGAGTTCTCCAAATAACCAGATTCTGTGACTTGGTGTAGACGGAATTTGGGCCGGCCGGTAAAACCATATAGATCTTCTATGTATTTGCCTTGCTATATTCTATTTCACAATGGTGTGAGTTTATGTTTTTATTATCGATTACAGACCTCAGCTGTATGATTTGTTTTTTAATGCGGACTTGATGTTTTTTTCTTAGTTTTCTATGCCAAAATAAGCTTGCTAGGCTCTTAAATATTTGTCTAGACACTTAACCGATCCCGAGAAAGCGAGTAAATTAATGAGTTACTCTGGCGAGAAGTGGCGAGAGACACGAAGGCTTGAAAATGTTAACGAGGCCATGTGAGTGCATCCAGTGGCGTATGCACAAGTTTTGTTGAGGGTTGTGCTAACACTCATTATAATATTAATAATAACACATGGTTCTCACAAATTATGTGTTAATTTTAGTTTATTCCTTATTATAGATTTCAAAGAAAAATAGAAATAACTCCAATGTACTATTAGGGAGACTCAATCCCCTCATGTTTTGATTATTTAGGGACTTCCCGCTTAGTTTGCATCAACTCTTGTTATACACACACACACTCCGTCCCACTAGGATTTTTCATATTTTTATATTTGAGTGTCCCAATATACATTTCCACTTTATAGTCTTGGAAAAGGAATGTGTGGTTCACACATTCTCTTTCTTCTGAAGACATTCCAACCACAATTTTGACTTGGCAATGATTTATTTAGCCACAATCCATCACCACCACCACCACAGTCGTCTATCCGTTACACAATGGAAGCATTGCTGGATTTAGAGGTGAACAGTAGTGCCTCTGATGGATTTAGAGGCGAGGGATGCGCATCGATGGTTGATTCTCGATTCAGCAATGATGTTTTCGATGGTGTTTGGATTCTGAGGCATCCATGCAGCCTACAAGCTCTCTTCAGTGGGTGGTTGGGTTCAGTTCCGGCGTAGTTTTGAAATTTAAATTGAAAGGCTATTTTAATCCTTTTGAAGTGAACCCATTTTTATATTCTTGAGCTTATTAAACAAAGGTACATAAGATTTAGTTAGCACTACTTTATAGCCTATGAAGTAAAATTGTCTTAGTGTAGCCCTAGTCACTAGAGGACACACATTGACTTTTAAATAAGGATGTGTAATGTATACCTTCAAGATTAATAATGACGAATAGTACGAGTCCTATTACTGAGTATTACTATCTTNTTCAGTGGGTGGTTGGGTTCAGTTCCGGCGTAGTTTTGAAATTTAAATTGAAAGGCTATTTTAATCCTTTTGAAGTGAACCCATTTTTATATTCTTGAGCTTATTAAACAAAGGTACATAAGATTTAGTTAGCACTACTTTATAGCCTATGAAGTAAAATTGTCTTAGTGTAGCCCTAGTCACTAGAGGACACACATTGACTTTTAAATAAGGATGTGTAATGTATACCTTCAAGATTAATAATGACGAATAGTACGAGTCCTATTACTGAGTATTACTATCTTCTTATACTGCTAGTTTCCTATACACTGTTTCTGCTTTCTAGCATTTACAAATGCAGCCCGCTAGCCACCAAACATCTCAATATTCAACAACACCTAATGTACTTAATGCCGATAGCTTGAAAAGGTTTGAAATTTCAGTGAACAAAGCAGTATCACAGAAAGATTACTTGTCAGGTGGATTTTAGGTGATCAACCTTTGTATCTATTGCCAATGAAGCTAAAGTAAACTTTTTTGACAATGTTTTTTTGTTGGGTAAAAGATGGACTAGATTAGAATGGCACATTTAACTTCCCTTGCTTCTTACTTTCTATGAAGCTTTGGCCATCAACGAAGTTGGGATTATAATGGGCTTGTTGTTGTTGGTTTTCAATGTTGCATTTTATCAATTTTCTGTGAATCTGTGTGTAGTTTTCAAAATTTGATTTCAGATATTATGATTCTAATGCATTCTTTATATTCCCAGTGCACACACACAAGCTCTAGATTGCATCTTCATGACTGTTTTTTTGAACTCTAAGTGCGATGCAGATTCTGGGCAATTGACAATATATTAAGAGTTTCTAAAGTGCTACATAGACGTCGGTCTAGCATCAACCAACAAAGAGGGGAATATGGAATACTCATGTTGGATGGGAGACATTCTCCTCTATATAGATTTTTCCAGCAATATACACATTCAGCTAGAGGATATAACTCATTTACGGCTTATAACATTAGAAATGGTCTATACAACAATCTCCTTAAAAAATTTCAGGCCATTTCAGCAAATAAAGCTGTTGCATGTAAACGCCAGACTTCTCGCCCCATAAGTAGAATTGCTCAAGCAGTTATTTTGTCCCTGACCCGCTCACATGTCATTCTTCCTGGAGTTTTTGCCGTATTATGTGGAAGAAGTGTTGCATTGGCACGGGCGCCTCCTGACACAGATTTCATCCGCCCCAGAAATACACTGTATATGCATGCTCAAGACGGCCATGCTATCTTCAAGCAGCTGGTCCATTCAATATTTGAAGGTTTAGTTTTATTGTTAAGAGGGATTTATTTGACAATACTCTTTACCCCGAGCATAACAATGGCTCCATTTGCTGATGCTTTTGGACCTCGCTTCCGTAAACTATGGCTTGAAGTTATTCATCGGACCCTCGAAAGAGCCGGGCCAGCTTTTATAAAGTGGGGCCAGTGGGCAGCTACACGCCCAGATCTGTTCTCTAGTGATTTATGTACTCAACTGTCAAAGCTTCATACCAAGGCCCCAGAGCATTCATTTGCTTATACAAAGAAAGTGATTGAGAAAGCTTTTGGTCGTAAAATTTCAGAAATTTTTGTCGATTTTGAGGAAACACCTGTAGCATCTGGGAGTATAGCTCAGGTGCATCGAGCTACTTTGAAGTATCGGTATCATGGTAGGGAGATCAAGCCCATTGATGTGGCTGTTAAAGTTCGACATCCCGGAGTTGGTGAATCTATTAAAAGAGACTTTGAAATTATTAATATGTTTGCTAGAATGTCGAAGTACATTCCTACTTTAAAATGGTTGAGATTGGATGAAAGTGTCCAGCAATTTGCAGTTTTTATGATGTCCCAAGTAGATCTTGCAAGGGAAGCTTCCCATCTGAGTCGTTTCATTTATAATTTCCGGAGATGGAAGGACGTGTCTTTTCCTAAGCCTGTTTACCCACTTGTGCACCCTGCAGTGTTAGTAGAAACCTTTGAGCAAGGGGAATGCGTCTCTCGTTATGTTGATGGGATGGAGGGGAATGAACGACTTAAGAGTGCTCTTGCTCACATTGGGACACATGCACTTCTCAAAATGCTTCTGGTAATATATATTCTTTGTTTACATGGGTAAATATTCAGTTACTTTGATGCAATAAATAGCTAGTTTGATTTCCACCTGCCTTAATGACAATTATCCTTAAGTTTCATGCCTTAGTTTGCTGCTTCTTTTTTTGCTTGTTTTGAAATGTCCCCTTTTCTATTTGTTATTTATCTGTACTAGGAAAAATCATCAATTCAGGCGGTATATGAAAAGTGGTATATCAATAGTGAATAATGTCATCACTATACCATATTTCTGTGATAGAAGTGGCTTTTAAAATATGAATTTCTTCGTCCAGGTAGACAACTTTATGCATGCTGATATGCATCCTGGGAATATTCTAGTAAGGGTACCTCAGAGCAAGTCATCTCGAAGGCGTATCTCAAAAATGAAGCCTCATGTCATTTTCCTTGATGTAGGCATGACTGCTGAACTCTCAAAAAATGACAGAGGAAATTTACTTGAATTTTTTAAGGCTGTCGCTTCCCGAGATGGTCGTGCAGCAGCTGAAGCTGCATTGAGATTATCAAAGAAGCAGAACTGCCCCAACCCAGGGGCTTTCATTAAGGTAAATATTTTCATCAACTAAGAACTCTTTTAATTCAGGTTTAAGTTGGATTGATTAGATTAGTAGGACATTCCAACACCCTTTGGGTCACAGGGTCCAGATGACCTTGCCCCTGAAAAAACAGGATGGTTTTTCCATTCGACTGTTGATGCATTGCTGCATTTACTACCTCAAACTTCATAGAATGTAAGAAGCTAGGGAAGTTTAATTTGCCATTTTGATTTAGTCCATTATTCACCCAAGGCTCGTAGCTAAAACATTGCCAAATATTGACTCTGTTAGGTCATGACTTTAAGGGTATGGTTGTTGGCAAAAGATTGTTGTTTCATATGTGAATTGATGATGAATATATACTGCATATTATTTTATTGTTTGAAGAAAAAGATGCATTGACTGCTGCATCACAAATAGAGCATGATGGATGCTGTTTTTGTGAAATGATTAACTTAATAATAGTGTTGTGTTTGAATGCTGCTGGTAACAGGAGGTCAAAGAGTCTTTTGATTTTTGGGGGACACCAGAAGGTGATGTAGTCCACCCTGCTGACTGCATGCATCATCTACTTGAGCAAGTTAGGCGTCACCAAGTAAACATTGATGGAAATGTGTGCGCTGTGATGGTGACGACTTTAGTCTTGGAGGTAGTTTCTTTTTCAATACCAAGCGTGGCACTAGTTTCCCAAGTGGATCCCAAAAAAATTTGTGGAAAAGATAATAGGAAAGTAATATGTTTAAGAAAACTGTTGAAAAGAAAAAATGGGTGGTTGAAATATGTTTAGAAGAAAGTAAT